TCTGCATTTTTTTGCACTTTGCATGCGAAACGTTTAAAACTTGCAGCATGCCCACAGGCTGTCCAATATGGCAAACTCCATTCAGCCCAGTCCCCCCCTTTTATATGTAAGTCCTCACGGCTACGTGACTTTGGCACGCGTCGCGTTCCGTCTGCCGACCCACGGTCATTTTCCATTGTTGGTCATTAATTTGAAGGCAAGTGTGTTTGGGGTTTAACTAGCGGACGCGCGCCTTTCGTCACCAAAACCGCACACGTACAGTGGTACATCCCCCCGGCGACAGGGTGACCAGTTGGCCGGGGTATGGGTATGGTATCAGGTGTCTTGGTGTTTGGGTAAACAAATCGATTTATCACTCTATTTAATGTCATTTGTTTTCTTGCACTATTTTTGTTATTTTTAAACATTAAAGGTACTTAGTGATTTAATTAGATTATATTTTAGGCCCAAGATATAAATTAAAATCCAACTACAATCATTTGTATTAGGAACATAATTACATAATTAAGAAGTAAATAAAAATTAAATTCTATTCTTCTAAAAAAACGATTTTTCGTCAGGTATATCATTTTAAAATAATAGACTTTCCCATATAATCGTCAAACCTAATTTTAATTAATTTATTTCAAGAAGAAAATAACTTTAGTAAATAAATGTACTGTAGTTTGAATATAAGGGTAACAATTTCGTATTCTGGCTTAAATTGGTTGATAATAGAAGACTTTATTATAAATATATATTATTCCAATGATCGTAATACACTCTAAACCCTTTATATTTAAATGGGAAATTTGTTGTATCTATTAATCGAAAACCGACTACCCTCGAGCACCCTGTACGCGCATATGCTTCGACCACTTTGTCATCCGACTCACGTACGGGACTCACGTATGCCAGCCCCGAAAAGGATTGTCCACGCTTTTGGTCAAGTTTGGTCCTCGGTCCTTGGCCATCAGCTCGATTAGATGTTGTGGCCTGGCTGCGTCCTTGCGGTCATGTTTTGTGGATTCAACCTAGCTGACCGTCTGGTCTGGCTTTTTCGTTTTTTCCCCGAGAAACGGCGGAAAGGGGCGGATTTCGAGGTGTCGGAGGGCTGGCAAGCGTTAAAAAATGTTTTAGCAGCGCATTTTTGAGGTTAACAGCGTGCACGTGCTGGCCCCAAAAAGGAGAGAGAGCGAAGGGGGTTATAATAGAGGTGCTGGAGATCGGGGACTTGGCCAAAAAGGTGGCGACAATCGCCCAGTCGAGTGCTGAAAGAGATTTATCTAGCCTCGCTGTACGTGATGGCAACAATCGTGTCAACCGCCGCCGGACTGCCATGAATTATGACGAATATGTTCAAGTGTGTACGGTACATCCAAGTGGATGTCTTGTAAATCTCGGCCAAATCTCCGACAGGCGTGTGTGTGCTGCTAGGAAAGACAAATAAACTGCAATCGTTGGGGCATAAATCCTAATTCAAGTTTGATTATCTCTCCCCTTTGGGGAAAGAAAGAGTGGCTTTAAGGCAAACTGCTGCAGCTGTCTGGAGGCAAAACAAAGGCTTAATGTGGCCGGGAGGAGGCAGTGCTATCGGATGGCCCACTTTCAAATCCGAGTAACTGAAACAGGTCCCAAGTCCCCAAGTCCCAATTTCCCAGGCGAGCATTAACGAACACTTCCTTTGGTCTGCACAGTGAAAACGAAAGGATTACTATCAAGATTTTGTCATTTCATCACGATTATTACTCTTCAAAAGTCAAAAGAGTAGTTTGTAGGGTGAAAAATTTTAAAAGGGAATTTAAAACCTTATATTTATGATAATATCATGTGATGTGATTTAAGTAAGGCTTTTAATCCTTTATTATTTAAATAGTAAATTAAAGTTAATAGTTCTAGCTTAGTTCTAATGATTTTCGATGATTTCAATAAATTAAAATATTTGTAGAAATGTTAATTTTTTAAAGATTAATTTTTATTATCATCTGACAATAGGATATTTAGGTAATAAATTAAGAACAATTCATCTGAGTTCCTAGAAGCTTTTCTGTTGTTTCAGTGCTAAGCATTTCCATGCAATCCAAGTCCCTTGGATAACCGAAAGTCAAGGCAAAACCTGGGACATTAAATCCGTGCAGCCATTAACATTTACGATTTCGCATCCGGAGGTCAGCCACTCACACTCACACGCACAGATGGCATATGTTTGCCATCCAGGATTGGATGTGGCCCGAAAAGCCCTTCGAGGAGGAGCAGCAGCCCAGATTGGTAGGCGTTTAACAGGCGATGGCAACTGAAAACACATCCTGTGATATGTGAAGTGTAGAGTGAAAAGGGGCAATGGACGTTGGGCATTGGCAATGCAATTCTGGAAATCGACGAGGACCCTCTCTATTTGTTTGCAGTTTATCTGGGGACTTGGAGTGCGTCTGTTGGCCCCCCGTGTGATCGCCTTAGTGAGTCAGTGGGCCGGAAAGCGGACCAAGATTTGCAGCCAGCTGGTTGGGTTGGTTGGTTGCGTCTAAAGTTTTGCATTTTAATAGCCTCTTAACTGCCGACCATTTGCACTGTGTGTTTGTTTATGTTGCCACAGGTACAGTTTGGGGGAAATGGGAAGTGAATGGAACCCAGAACGGGTCCTTTGGCCAGGTGTGGCTTCCCTTCAGCCACAGAGATTTGCGATTTGCATGCGATTGCATTTTCAACTTGGCCAATTTTCGGTTCAGTTGTAGGCACTTAAAAGCGTTTTGAACCGTTCCCCTGAACCGAGTTTTGGTTTTGAAAGCGAAAATAGTTCACATTGCAGTCATGGGGATTTTGGTTTAGGATGGAAGCGGCTACGGTATGCCAGCAGGGGGATTAATTGTTTCTACCAATTAGCTGTGGTTGCATTGCTCAGATACCCGAATTTCACCTCAATCTGTTAGCATGAAAGCTATCTAAAATCAAATCACATTTAATCGATGGGGATTAGTCTTTAGTGCTAAGACTTGAATATTTGGCTTCATTGAAATAAATTTGATTACAAAATTATGGATATGAAACAAATGAACATACAAAATAAGGAATACTTTAACCAGAACATGAAATTTAAGTTTCAAAAATAATTTTTTTGCAAAGTAAGAAATTAAAAAAGAAAATGAGAAATTAATTTAATACATTTCTCGAAGTCTATCTTTTTTTTTTGAAAAATCTATTTTTAATGCATTATTGCACAATTGTTAAACTTTCTGCAAATATTTAGTTTTCGGGTGAAATAGAAATTTCTATAATTTATATGACGTCTGTTTAAAACTAAATTGAGTTAAATATTCCAATGATAGCTGTATTTTGGCATAGTCTTGGCTAAATTTTAATGACAACCATTTGGACAGATGTGTGGCCATCATGGGGAGTACCATCATCATCAGGGCCACTGCTGCCAACGCCAAGTCACGTTTTCGCTTGGCTTCTCTTGGCTTTCAGCACTGTCTCTGCTTTCCTTTCAAAATTTCACCCAGTTTTATCCAGCGTTTCCCCATTTTCTAGCCGCGCTTTTTGTTTCTGGAAAGATTCGTGACGTGACGAGTTGCCACGCTAATGCACGCCCTGCAAAGTATGCAATAAATTTAACGTTGGTTTAAGGGCACCTGTGTGTGTGTATTCGTGTGTGTGTGGGTGAAAAAAGAAGGATTCCCCGTCATCTCTGTATCATAAACACTAACAGCTTTTACTTATTTCCTGACAGTCGCTTTAACACTCGACACAAAGGCAAATGCGACCATCTAGGCAACGGGATGCAGCGATTTTTCAGGCGTGAGGAAAACTGTTTGCTTAATAAGTTCCTGCAACCACATAAAGGCCGTCTTTTAGGAAACAACCCCACCAGACTGGGGCTAAAACCTACCAGCCGATGGGCCACCTCTTCTGCGGTCAGTCGGTGAGGAACCCTTGGCATGCCCATCACGTCTCGATTCGTTTAAAACTTGAACACGCCGCCGGTAAAAATCAAATTCAATTAGTTCATGCGCAAGGGAAGCGAAAAATTGTTTCAATCTGCCATTCCGATAGCGTTTACTCTCGTATTGCTTTAAACTTCAATTGCATTTCTTAAAATTTTTCAGTCTACAACTAATTGAACTTTTCTATTATCATTTTATTAGGAAACCACTGACCTATCTGTTATACGTATATATATTTTATATTTTAAGAGGTTCAAAGAGTTCAAAGTTCGAAAATAACAAAATCAACATACAAAGTGAGGAGTATCTTATGGTGAGGACGCTAATTCTTATAGAGTAAAATTAATAAAAAAATCAAAATTAACAACATAGTGAAGATGTAGCCCACTGCCTTCTGGATTTCGGTGAGCGAGGTCGTCTCAGATTCTGTGGCATCATCATAAGTAAGCCTGATGGTACTGACTGTTGTCGATCTATATGATCCGCAGTCCATTACTTCCTGATACGTGGGCGGCGGAGTTTCAGGTTCCACATAGATTGACTGCAGAGGAACCCTTATCGTTGAACTCATGTTCTATTTATTACCAAATGTTAGACAAACTGCACAATTTTTGATTGCAAAAGTAAACTTTTATTTTTTAACGTGAGGCCCTGAGTAAAACTGATTTTTTAGTTGACGAGAGGAACGTCTCAGACGCTTGGTCTCTGAGTACACGTTTTTTAACGACATAAAGTTATTCAGCGTTTTGGTTCTCGGAAATACTTTTAATAAAACAGCTGATAAGGTTTTTTCCGCAATGAGTACTCTTAAACGATTCATTACACTGGTCAAAAAATAAACAAATTTGGTTTTACTTTTATTTTTAAAAAGCTTTTTTAAATTTTAAATTACACATTTTTTTTAGTCGAATTTCAATAAATAACTTACAAATATAAGACACATAATCTTTGAATTAAATATTTATAATTCTAAATCTTAACATTACCAGACTTTATTTATTAAATCTATGATAATATTTGATAATAGAATTATATTTTTCAATGAATAGTTTGAGATAAGCTGATTTTGCTGGGGAATCGAAATATTTTAGTGTGAGAAGGTGCTTAATGTGAGCGCTCTTTCAGATACTATCCTATAGATGAACTGTGCCCAGGGGCGCCTTGCAGTTGGGACACGAGTGATGAACCTCGTTGAAGCCATTGATGATGCACGGTAGCAGCCAGCATCCCAGTCCGCAGGTGGTGAACATAACTACGAAGGAGGCCACATACGCCATATTTCCGCGCCGGTTTACTGTGGTCGTCTCAATCTCGTCGAGGCATCTTGGGCAGATCGTTAGCAGCGAGGTGCGACCTGTGGTATCCTGAGGGGACAAAGTCGTGGTATTTTCCACCGCCGATCTAGGTGGCTCCCAGCCCATCGCCTCCGAATACGAGGGAGGGGGTGTGGGAGGCCCCTCACAGATTAACTGAGAACTCATTGTGCTTTTTATTTTAATTATTTCTCTTTTTTATTTCAGTAAACGCAAAATAAAAATTGTTTAAAGCTTTATAAATTTTCCATGACTTTTAAACTTAACAAAGCAACCTTTAATATTGAGTGCTTGAAAAAAACTAATTTTCTGGATTTGCTTCGCTAGCTAAATATATTTGTTATTAAGTGTGTGCAAATCTCGCAAATGAAAAATTAATTATAAACACAGCTGCGGTCAAAATAATATCACTTTTTGAGATTTTTAGAAAGAATACTTTCACATGCTAAAAACACCATTTAAAATTTACTTTTATTTTTAAGCAAAGTATTTTTTATTCTTAATATTTGTATAAAATATTTTTAAAACTATAGACTTTTTGAAATTAATTTACATAGGCAACCACTTTATGCGAAAGCTTGGAGTCAACTGATTTTCTGGGCTTGTATTACTGAACACTCTACAATTTTTGATAAGCGATTCAGAGGAATTCTGGATTCCAGAGTAAAATGATTTTGTGGAAATATTGAGTCGGCTTGGTTGCGGGCTTAGTAAATGGAAAAGTTATGTGATAAGCAATCGTGTCGATTTCTCTCACAAAAACACTGATTGCGCCAATACAACAATAACAATAGAAATATTGCAATTTATACCCAAAACAAACTAAAAGGGGTACATAATAAAGTCTTACTGAATGCTGGGTACTTGATATTCGAGGCACTTTTTTTTATCGTTTGAGCTTAGCTGGCGGTTTTATGCATGAGTAATTTGAGATAGCTGTATGCAGTGCTTGATTTGAAAAAAGAATTTATAAACAACAAATACCTATTGCATATAATGTAGATTTAGCAGTTCAGAAAATGTGGACTTGACTAATCTGTTGATAGCCGTCAAGTTTTCTAATATTGCACAGAAGCATATCAAATTATTTAGAAAATTGGAGCTCGGGAGAGCGCTGGAATATAAACAAGGTGTTGTATTTAAGTTCGTTAAAATATTATATCATAGATATTGTATGTGAAGGGTACTATTTTTGTTTAAAAGCATTTTAGCAAAGATTGAAACATATATGTAAATAAAGTTATTTATATAAAATACTTGACTCACTGTGCGAGCATCGCTCTCGGTATTGATGTGTCAGCATTAAAACCTAAAAATAAGTAATTTATTAATGGAATACATTTATTGTGGGTGTTTTGCAAAAAAATTGGTCGCACTTTTGTCACATGGCAATAAGAACAATTTAAAGCCTAAATAAAATTCCTAATGCCATTACTACGTGTACTTAAGAATAATTGCATTTCTTATAAACTGGAAACATTTATAAAGGAGAGAAATTTTAAATTTGGAGAATCAAACGCAACTTAGTAAGTCTTAACTGCTCTTTAAAATGTCCCCGAGCGATAAATTCGATTTATGCTAAAATATACGAATCCACATTTAGCTATTAAGCCCACGAATTTGCATATATGAATGGCGAGGAATTCAATAAATGCGAAACTCATCCATCACTGTCAGCTTAAGCTGCATGCGGGTCGAGCTTTAAAGTCGTCTTAAATGCTGCCATTAAAGCACCGGGAAAATGTCAAACGTGTGATGGCTTGTGCCGTGTGTTGTGCTAATGAAATATGGCCCAAACACACACGCTCCAAACAGACGTTGCGTATACGCAGTGGAGACCTGGGAAATATGTTTGGCATCCCACTTATCGATGCTGTCAATGAATTTCGTAGGCGAAATTTTTCCTACGGCCAGTTGCAAATGCTGACAGCCAAAATTCAAAATTTTTCCTAAGCAATTACCCACGAGGCTTTGATGTGGCTGCTTAGAAGCTTTGAACTCCGCAAGCCAATAAAATATATGAGTAACAAAGTCGGAATGCCTAGAATGCAGGCGAGTGCCTAAAAATTCTCGGCAGTAGCTATTTCAATTTTGAATGTCTACGTCTACCACATTGCCCGAGGGAAGCCGTCAGGCGACGACGACAACGGAGCTGCTCGCTTTGCCCCTTTTGCTCCTCTTTAAGCGCCTTTATGGCTAATTAAATGAAATTGAACAGGTCCGCGCTTAATTGCCAGCGTCAGCAGGTGTATTAAAAATTAATAAAAAGCGTAGAACTGAGCGAAAATGTTTAACGTTCATGGGTTTGAATGTGAGGAAGGAGGCTGTGTTTGTTTGAAATGTTTTTTATTGACTCCCGGCCCTTGTCCCATGGCTTTTAATTAACTTTTCGCATTGGCGTCGCCATGCGAACGGATTTTGTGGTGCAGAGCTTAGGGAGAAAAGGATTTTAAAGCAGGCGAAAATGTGGTGAAATTTAAAATTCAGCTGTATTTGTATTTGTAGGGCCGCACCACATGGCGTATGATTAATGCGTCGCCCGGGACTCTGCACATTTCATTAAATAAATTGTAATTTATCAAAAGCAGAGGGGAGTTGGCGATTGGCGACCCCACCACCCATCGAATACAAAAAGCACAAGCCAAAGCAAATCAAATAAATTACAGACAAGTTGAAAAACTTTGACCATTAAATGCCCTAAACCAAATACGGCCAATGACGACTTGTTTGTTTTTTTTTTTGGTTTTCTTCTTTCGCCGGATTGTTGTTCTTATTCGCCCAGCATTTCATTGCAATTGATTTTTGGTGTCAGCTGCACGCTCACCCGGAGACAGACATGTCCAGGCCTTAGGTTCCAATGTCCTCCTACATTTTTCCTCCTACATTTTCCCCCCAAACCCCACCGAAACCGAACCACCGACAAATGCTGTGGTTGCGGCTTAAGTTTGTCGGCAAATTGAAAACTTTGTTGGTTAACTTGACCTGCAGGAGGCGAAGGGAAAGGAAGGGAGTGAGCAGCTTGGTGGGCAAAATATAGCCCCAAAGCTTGGGCACATCAAAACAACATTTTTTCGTCGTCATCACCCCTGCTTTCATCCCAAAATCAGCCCATTCCATTCCCAAATAAACAACCAGGCGGACAAGCCGACGAAACCAGAAGCGCTCGGTCGCCTGTTGTGGCTGAATTTCTGGCCATCCAGCTGATTGCATTAACCACCCGAAATGGAGTCGAACAATAACGAAAATCACAGCGGAATTAGAAAGGAAAATCATCTACTCCGCTGAAGCGCATTTAAGGTGGAGAGAATTTGAGGGAAAACAAAAAAGAAACGCGATTATATCACTATTTATTTCTTACATTTAAAATATTTGTATTTAATTTGTGATATTATTGTATAGATTTTCCATTAGGAATTTATCTAATTTTTCGATTTTTGTCCCTGTGTTTTTTAAAAATATGAAAATAAATGTATTAAGTTAATATAACATTAGAAACAAAAGCTTGTAATTATATCTTCCCTTTCAGCGTCGTTTCTTTTATAGCTAAAATATAAATAAGCTTTTTATAAGAGCTTTAAAATGTTTTTACTCTGAAGGGAGTCGAAAAAATCTGCTTTTACTTTTCCCTTTTCATCCAAAAATAGCTTTACTTAAGGTGAACAGAAAAGCAACTTGCTTTTAATATAAATAAATAAACAGACGGCTGGCGAAATTGAAAGTCTAGGCCCAACAGGCAAATCGAAACTTAAGGCGCCAACTTTTAATAGAAAAGGAAAACTGTTCGAAAGCCTCTTATGATGGCTAGCCGAAGTCCCCGGCCCCCGCATGGCAGGCACTGTAGAGCGAGGGAGTCCTGGGCACAGGATGCACCTGGGCCACAACCACCTCCTCGTCCAGCTGGACATCGGTGCTGGAGAAGGGCGAGGCGCCGGTTATCTGGCCATAGATGGGTTGCATCACCCGGATGCTGGCCACTCGCTCCCGCCAGGTGTGCCAGAAGTGCTGCTTGAAGATGTGGCCCCCGAACTCAAAGATCATCGGGTGCTCCAAAAGGGCCAGAGGTTCACCCAGCGGCTGGACAATGTTCAGCATCATGAGGCAACGCGTGGACTTGCGGAAGAAGTGGAACCGGATCAACTGCAGCGGCATCATGCTGACCAGCTCGAAGCTCTCGATCTCAGGATCCAAACCGCGGGCCAGGAAGGTGGGCTCATCGCCGTACTTCGCGAAGTTATCACAGCCGAAGAGCAGCCGATTGCAGGTCAGGCCTATCTGGTACTGCCGCAGGCCCACTCCTCGGATGTCCACCAGGGTGAAGGGATTCTCCACCAGCACCGGTTCGTAGATCTCCTCGTATTCGGCGAGCAAAACTTTCTGCACTCGGAACATCGAGCATTGAACATTGAACATCCGCCAGCGACAGCGAGTTTGGCTATAATTTAATTGAAATGTCAATCAAAGTTTGGGCCCCATCTATTTGTTTGCTTTGAGAGTTGTCAGCTGTGTTGTGGATTCTGTCGCCTGCTGCGGTAACGCAAACTATCCGGCCAAGTCGATTAGATCGTCGCCATGGCCATCGCCATCACCAAATGCAAATCACTGGACATCCGATGTCATTCCAACTCGAAGTCGGAGTCTGCATTTGAATTTAAATTGGCATTCGCCAGCTGGAAGTCGAAAGAAAAGGGCGTGGTTAGGAAAGTCACTCAGCATGGCTGGATGGGCTAAAATGCCTGCATTAGGTGCACTCAGTCGAGGGCAAAGCGAAGTGCTGATGGACATAATGATGCCGCCAAAGAGTATTACCCGTGTACCTCAATGAGTAATGAAAATAAATAGCACTTCGAAAAACAAAAAACAAATATAATATAAAAGGCTAGGAAAAACACTAGGGTTTTAAAATCATTTAAAATTATGTCGACTTGTATATTTTTACGGTATACTTATAGACACCTTTTTTTAAATAACTTTAAAAATCCTTTGGATATTCCCAATAAAATCGGAATTTTTATTACTTAAAACAAAATCCATGTTTTTTTGTTTTACTTCAATATTTATCATTGAACATCAATTGTCAGGCAAATCACTTGTTCGCAATGAATTGTGTAAACTTTATCAATCTCCGAATTAAAGGAGATTTTATTTCCAGTTTTTCAGTTTCGCCTCCCCGGAGACTGGCATTTTTTCGCCATCATAGTTTCTGTTCGACATGGCTACAAGTTCCCGGCCATAATCTTGGCTTATAACTGCCACAGTTCACATCCTTCGTTCTTCTTGTTCTGTCAGGGCAAACACTTTTAAAATATTCTGATTTATGACAAACTTTCACCGCCCGTTTGCAACTTTTCGCAGTTGCCATTTGGCACTTTCCACTTTCTACTTTCCACTTTCGCGTCCATGTCCTTGCGATTGCGTTTGCGTTCATTTCCACCAGTTTCTGTTGCTGCCGGCTGCAATTGGTGACAGAATATAAAAGAAAACTCTGTTTCTCGCGGGATGCGGGCTGCTGATGCTGCTCACTTTGTCAGCCATTTAATTTAGCCACGCTTGCAATTGCACTTGCAGTGGGAAAACTGGGAAAAATGCGGTGGGGGAAAAGCTGGGAAAAGAGGGGAGAAAGAGTTATAGCGCGAAGTACTGTGTCAAGTGGCATCTTTGCTGTTTTCAAAGTAATTAGTTTCAAGGAAATTACGAGTGCGAATGCCGTCACAGATCCAGACGTATAGTTAAACATAACTTATGGCTAATCGTATTTTCCTTTCGGGCTCCTCTTGAGTTTTCCTTGCTTTCCATGTCACGTTCCTGCTAATTTGGGCAAATTCGACAGGGCATATCAAATTGCATCGCCTGCTTCGGTAATTCGCCATTGATTAACTGTGCTGCAGACCAACGTCTAGCTGTCACAAATCACACAGGATACATGGTCCCTTAATGAATTCGTAGTCATAGTCGTCGTCGTACTCTCGAAATCGCCATCGTATCAAAATGAACAAATGCCCTCTGTGGTGGGCTCTTGCAATTGGGGAATTAATTAAAATTTTCCCGTTTGGCATGTTTATGATGGCACTCTCAATTAATTTCAGGGCTCGTTGAGCAGCACGAAATGTATTGAGGTTACAATTCGGATGCTCTATTGGGGTTTATACAGGGAGAAGATTTCAAATTAATAGAAAAGAATATGGAATGGAATATATCATAGAGCTTGAAAATTATCAATATTTTGACAAACTTAATTCGATAATATCGATATTTTGATATCGGGAAATAGCAAACTTTCGATATTTTTTTAAGCTTTTTTATATGATTGGTATATCTTAAATATTTTTAACTGCTAGGATTCTTAAATCAGGAATATTTCTAATTAAATTAATATTTCAATCTATTTTTTCCCTTCTACTTCCATAAAATTCTGTTAATAAGAGAACTCACAACGCATAAACCTTTTCACGTGTGCCACAATTAATTTAGCTTTGTGTGAATTGCTCAAGTTGCTTTCCATGTCGTTGGGGCAATTAATGCCGTAAATGTATTTCATTGTCTCGATCATGGAGTTTTCTGCTGCTGCTGTTGCCAACAGTTTGCCCATTCAATTTAAGTGCCGACATCTGAGCGCTCGCTAATGGTCATTGGCTTAAACATTGCCCACAAACTGCATTTCCCCTCGATTCGTGCCAGTATCTGACTGGCTTCCGATTGGCCAAACACCTGTATTGTTCTTGAGTGCAGCAATTAGGTAAGAGCAGCAAAAGCACGCACGCCTACACATGGAAAAATTTGTCAAATAATTAAATGAAAGAAAAATTAGTACAGTTTTAAAACCACTTTTAAAGCTGTCTAAAAGAATGCAGCAAAATATTTTCAATCCGGAAAATTTTTATTTATAATAATTTTGAAATGAAGTACAGATTAAATGTGTACGATTTTTTACAGCACAATTCAATTTTAAACTCTCAACCTACAAAATTAAAATAGAAAAGAAATATTGAATTCTTTTAATATTAATTTAAAATCATAACATTACTCTAAATCACCAATATATCTCAAAATTATCCGTTTAAAAATATGCTTAAATAAGTATTTGTCTCTGTGTACAAGCACACACGTGCTTGCAGCATACAAGTGTGTAGGTGTGCTTTCTTGTTTGCTCGCTTTATTTCCGCCTTTGAGCATTTCATTGCGAACAATTCACGATTTTATTGTTAAATGCGGCGCAAGATGAAACATAAAGCACGGCAGTGGCTGTTCATATGCTCGGTGGGTTTGCAAAAGCGGAGCTTTACGGAAGCGGAAGTGGCTACGAATTGTAGTGCGGATGTTGGATGGCCGTAGAGCCATGGTACACAGTTCTCATACGTAGGCCTCATTGTGGCTTAAACTATAATATAATGCATAGCCCCCGTCCACTTTTACTATTTCTTTTAACATTCCCACATACATGGAGGGGACCGTAAAACGAGAGCTTGACAAAAAATTAAGTATACGCACTTGGAGTGACTTAATTTAATGGCTTCATCCCGCTGAGCAATAATTTGTCCTTTGGCTGATGGCTGAGTAATAAAAGCAAAACTACATATTACAAAGGCTGATCTCGGCGACTCTCTGTCGGATTTAAGCCCGGCCAAAGCGGGGCTCTCAAAGGTAAGTGAAGCAGTAATTGGCACTCTACTTTTCCCCTTCATCCCTGCCGTTAAACTCTCATTTACTGACATAACCTTTGAGCTGAGGGCACTCAAGGGGTTTTTTCCCAGCATGCTAGCAGCTCTTCATTTAATGGCTGTGATGGTGGCTTTAAGAGCGGATTTAAGCATATGCTTCAGAGTGTGGGAGTGGTTAAACGAAATCATCAAAAAGAGCCCGGAGCATATGTGCAGCCAATGAGTCAATGAGCCGGATTCTTTTCAGCCCCCAGGCACGATTTTAGCCTGATTGGCATGGCCAAGGAACTACATGCATACCATTTTTACTATTCGCACGACGTTTGTCTCCGGCAACTTTTGATGTCAGCAAAGTTTCGCATTCTTATCTCAATCTCCAGCTGCCGACTCACTGGCACAAACATTCGCATCTCCTTTTAGCCAGCATCCAAGCTTCTGGAGCTCGGGCGCCATTCGAGCATTTGGCACTTATCGCACATCTCATCCCAGAAAAATGGTAACCGACACATTTGCACAATTGCTTCTTGTAACTGACACGTCAACCACGTCCAAATCCAAATCCAAACGTAAACGCAAGTGAGCGCAGGAACTAAAGTCGAATGGGCCACGTTATTCCAAGGAGCCGGCGAATGGCTGTATTCCGCTTAGAGATGGAAATTTAGGAGAAGCGATGTAAATGTACTTGCAGCAGCTGCATATGTACCTTTAAGTTGCCCAATAAATCAGATTGAGTTGCATGCTCAATTTGGTTCAAGTGTGCTTATATATCTGTTGCTCTTTCTTACACAGAAAAATATTATAATAGCAATTTTTTAAACAGTGTAGAAGAATCAGAAGATTTTTATAAGTCTAGTATATTAATGGCACTAATATTAAAAAAATATATTTTATTAAATTATTTTTAATTATAACTTATGCTTTCTTTTAGTCAAAAATATAAATAAACACAGAATTTATTTAAGAGATATAGCAGCAAAAGGCATCATGTTTTTAATGTCTTATTTGGTATTTATAAACTATTTTATATAATATTTGTTAACATTTTTTCAAAATAGTTCTACTATTTTCTTTTTATAAAATACAAACGAAAAATATTTAGTTCAAAATTTAGTAATTTTGTTTTATTATTAACCATGAATTTTTTATTCAAATACTCTTTTTCTTTTGAATATTTAAAACTAATTTAGTACCAATGTAGGGATTAAATAAATGCCTTATTCCTGTATGCCATCCCTTTTCTAGTCCAATATGTTAAATTTACTAAGCTCGCTGTCTAGAAATATTATGGTTAATCCACTTTGAGGCTCACGTTCTCATCCCTAATGCAAATGTCCTGCCCCATCCGCACCTCGAACTCCTGGCGTTGTCGTTTCCTGTGCCTGTCAGCCGTGAGACTGGGATCTTTGCACTTGAGGCAGATTTAGTTTATGTGCTGGCAACTTTCTAATGCAATTCACGTGTGCACATAAATGCAATTGTGTGGGTGGCGGTGGCTGTGTGTCAGTGCGTGGCTTCAAGTGTCGGAGAGCATATTACACGTATCCAGAACACACGAATTTGCAGAAATTCCCCACTTCATATCTACCTAGCCGGAGCATAAAATTCAATGTCCGTTTCGTTGGAAGACCATTTGCATTGAATAGGTGACTGAGAGACCTGCCCGAGTGGGTTGCTTACTGGGTAGCTTAGGATGCATTTTATATGTAATATAAATATTTACACAAGCTCAGAGCCATCCGAAATAAAAGAGTTCAACTATCCTTGGAATATTTGCGAAACATTTACACATGCAAAGCGGATTTTGTTCAGATCTGGGCTAAAGTTTTGAATGACCGGGTGAGAGTCCAAGAACAATCAAAAGCAATTAATATCAGCATTTTAGAGACGACAATCCGGCTTTGGGTCAACTTGATTGAGATTTGATATTCGGAACAAACATTGGGGGCTCTCGGGTTGGCATACAGTGTGGCGTAGCTGAATAAATAAATTTCTTGATTAAAAAAGCTGGGCAAGAGTGGAATATACGACATCCATGCTCTCGCGTTATCAAAAGTCGTCATGAGCTTTAAAAGTAAATTTCAGACATTTAGTTTACTTAAAGCTGTCGCATTAAGAAGTTGTGCCTTGCAAAACAAAAAATTTAAGTTCGAAAAATATTTATGGTATTATTTTTCAAGTGAAATGAGTTCGTCATCGCAGTTACCCTACGTTTCTTTTCCGCCGCCACCGCCTTCGTATCGGGAGGCAATGGGTCTTACACCCTACAGAAGAGATCCAGAGATCCGAGTTCCAATAGCAAATGCCTTTACGATATTGTTCTGTTTGTTCCTGTTGGCCGCGGCGCCTCTCATTATCTATTTAACAAATAAGACAATTATACATAATTAACTTAGGTACTATTATCATAAACCAAGAAATTAATATAAATAAATTACTTTAGTTATTGTAACTTTTTATGCTTTAACTCATCGCCGAAAATAAACTTATTATTGCAACGAAAATGTTTATGGTGTATTTCTCTCGCTGTAGTCATCCAAGAAACCATTAAATTCTTGTACATCGCTTATCAAAAAAGGTTTCGAGTTCACAAAAGCCAAACCAGAAAATTAGTTTGTTTCAAGCTTCCCCATTCACTGGTTGCGTACTTCCACTGTATTCAAATTTGAAACCTACAAAGTAATCTGCATTACTACGTTTGGTATTAACCCTTAATAAATATGAACAATATCAGAATACCGACAAGAGTTCCTTTGGAAATTGACTATGATACGTCGCCACCTTCGTATCAGGAGGCAATGGGCTGGAGGACAAATGGAACGACAGTTGCAGGTGCCTCTGAGGGAGGTGTAATAAGCCGCACCTCGATGCACATGATCTGTCCGTCGTGTCACGCCGAGATCAAGACGACCATGATCATTCGACCCTCAAATATTACCTACGTGGCCTCGTTGCTAATTTGCCTGCTCTCCTTCGGACTGGCAAGCTGCCTGATCCCTTTTTTTTTGAAGGACTTCAAGGAGGTCCATCACTCGTGCCCCAACTGCCGGGTTTCTCTTGGGATAAGTGGATAGGATTGACTCGGAGGAATGTGGTCTAGTATTTATAAGCAAGTTACCGAAACAATGTAAACAAAACATATTTGACTTATTTTATTAAATTTTAAAAATTTTGTTTATAACAAAAAGTGCTTATCAGCTCTTTTGTTAAAGTTTTTTCGAAATTCGGAACGGAAATAAGTGACGCAATGTTGGCACGCGCTATAAAAATCTTGTATATCGAATTCCCTATCTACAATTTTTAAGACCTCTGTATCGAAAAAGTACAACTTAGTTTGTTTTAGGCTTTTGCATAAAAAGGTTGCTTTTTTATTATTATTCAAATTATTTACTTAAAAATAATAAGTAAGAAAATAAACATAAATTTAATTCGCTTTTTCATGGAAAATTTTAAATTAAGGACCGATTTAGTTCGCCGATGAGTGTTCCCCAAACGATTTTAAATGGGTATTCCCCTACTCCACCGCCCTCATATGAAGAGGCCATGGTTGTCTGGATACCACTTAGAAGACCAGTGTTAGGGGACGTGACCACTTGGCCCAACTCAACGCAGATACCCGTCCCGCCGGACAACGCTAGGAATAAGATGTATTCGACATGGATCTTTTCATTTTTAATCTTAACCATAGTGTTGGGATATATACTAATGTCACTATTATACGTCGTGCGGAAGACTTGATGACCGGTATAAAGCATTGAATCTATGTATGCTGTCACTTTAGCTCCTTTCCTTTTTTAACGAATGAATCGGAGAAATGTGGTATAGTATAAATTAAGAAATTACCAAAACAATGTATACAAAACATTTTCACCTTAAGTTGTTAAATTTTTAAATATTATTTTTTATGATCAATACCATGATTTGTATAGTTTGTATAAGTTTATAAAAAGTGCTTATCAACTCTTCTGTTGAAAGTATTTTCGAAACGCGGAGAACCCAGAAGCCGAAAGTGATGCATTGTGGGCACCCGCCATTATAATCTTTTATACGGAATAAACTTATCAAAAATGTTCAAGACCTCTGTTACAAAAATGTGAAATTAGTTTGTTTTAGGCTCTTGCATTAAAAGGTTGCTTTTTTATTGTTATTCAAATTATTTACTGATAAATAATAAACAAGAAAATGAAATATTATAATTATAAGATAAGGACCGATTGAGTTCGCCGATGAGTGTTCCGCAACCGATATCAAATGAGCTTCCACCAACTCCACCGCCCTCGTATGAGGAGGCTCTGGAGGTCTGGATACCACTAAGAAGACCAGTGCTAGGGGAGGTGATTACATGGCCCAACTCATCGCAGATACCCCGCACGCCAGACCACGCTAAGATAGTGATGGGATATATACTAATATCACTATTATACAGTCTGTGGAACCCTTGTTGACCGGTTCATGTCATTGTATTCCAACATTCGATTACCGAGAGGCACATATGTTTATGCATTAGGTTGCTCTAACTTGAATTGTACAGCAAAGTGTAACTATCCACCTAATAAAATAATGAATATATATTCTTAATCTATATTTAGTTATTTCCATATTTGCGTAAAATATCTTTAAGAAATATAAAACTTAGAAAAACAAAATCAAAAAATTTCCCAAAAGTTTTATTTTTTTTAGTCCTTAATCTAAAGATCGTTTTGAGTATGTTATGAGCTGGACATAAACAGTCGTTCAGAATAATATACACAATTTATTACTCCCTGTAGAAAAGGATATGCAGGGTGTAAAAATGTAATAGAAAAGCTTGTGAGCGCCCATTTAGACGATTTGGCTGTGGCTCCTTCTATATTTATTTTTTGGCTCTGAGGCAGCTGCTGTTAATAAGGTGTTGAGCAATTTTATTTTATTGGTTTCTAGCACAAGAGCCCACTCATATCCAGTGCCGTAGGAGGCTCCTTTAATTTTAATTGGCTCCACGCCCAACAGCACGTGTCCTTGCCAGCAGCCTGTTACTCAATTGCCAAGTTCTCTCCGCCCAACTCCCCATTTTCGGCTTTGTTTTTGGAACATGTGAGTGTGTGTGGAGTTCGCCGCCTTTACAGCCTCTTTTTTATTCGAAGGCACTTTTTTTTGAAGTCTTTGCCGGTCGTTAACATGTTCTTATTTAATGCCAAAGAAATTGCCATTGGCATTTATTGCCGTAATTAAGAGATGGAAAAAGTCCTTGAAATGCTTCACAACGCAATTGCTTTAGACCAGGCCGAAAAAACAAAACAGTTGGCCATCAAAGACCAGCATCGGCAGCGTCATCGTCATCGGCTTGGAAATACATTTTTGCTTTAAGATTTGGCAATTGCCAGCCGGCAAAAAGAAAAGCAATTTGTGTTTTCTGGTAAGTGCCATTTTCTTTGTTTTCGAAAGGAAAAAGGCCTCCGTCTGGCCTGAATGAGGTGCCCCAGCCCATCGTCCCTGCGCCGTCACTCAATTCGCTTTGAAATTTATGATCCAGTTGGAGGAGAAGTTTTTACCTCCGACTTTTTGGTGTTCGGGCTTCTGCAACAGGCGTTTAATTAAACGCTTTTAATGCTACTAGCCAGAGCTCCAGTGTTCAAGTGGCTCAGTCCATGGCCGTAAGTCATTAAATTTAATGAAATTGTGTATGAATTTAATTTCAATTCCCTTTAAAGTCTTGACAGTCTCAAGAGAAATTTTTGAATTCTAACTTTGGTTAATTTATTAGCAGTATTTATACTCACCGTACGTTAATCACCCAAATATATTTAGCAAATAATGAAAACATTAAACAATTTGATATATTCTTAATCGCAATTCTAGCAAGAACAGAAGCTGACGCTTAAATCCTTTTAAAATCACTTTAAATTCATTTATCAAAAACTCGCTTAATAAATGCGCATTCTTAATTTAAAATATTTCCATTTATCTGCATTCATTTATCGCATTTTTTTTCCATTTAACGCTCTAAATAATTTCACTCGACCATTTTTAACAGATTGGAACTTCCATGGAAACACTCAACTGCTTTTGTTTTGCTGGGCAATTACATGAAAAATAGTGAAATCCCGTGGTGAGCGAGATGGAGAAATGTACCAATAAATGGCGATATTTTTCTTTCCAGCGCCATTGTAAAGTTAATAAAAATAAAAACGTGTTTTTCGGGCTGCGCATAGTGGGATAAATTCAGGAATTTATCATCAAAAGTTCATCAATGTCGAAATTCTTTGTTTTAGGATAATTGCGGATTGTTAAAAAATAAAAACATGTTTTTTGCGTTTTATTAGTATGTTTATAAAAAATGCATAAATATTTTTTTAAGTCTTAATGTATTTTTTTTTAATTTTTTATTTGTGTTTTATTTATTTTATTTCGAAAGAAGAGGTTTTAGAGAAATTAATACAAAATACACAAAGTCAATCGGATTACTGTAGCCGGAGATACATATTGGCAAGCAGAGAGTACTTTTTCGAATTTTACGTTTTTTTCCTATCTTACAAAAAGTCTTACTAAAAAACAATTTGTTTTCCGCCAAATCCTGATACCCGTGCGTACTTATTTGCCGAATAGTATATGTAGAAAACGTTTCAGGCAAATCAAAAAATGTAAAAAGATATGTTTTGTGAAAACCGTTTGGTTTGTAAAATAACTCCCCTATGCAAATATTGTCAGAAAAGCGAGATGAGAAGTGGTTTCATCCTATACAATTTTTTTATTAATTGATTAAGCTGGAATTTGGCGTATTTTCCACTGTGCCACGAGGCTCGAAGCGGAAACTGCCTCGATTACGTCTGCGCTTATGTCAGCAGGTTTTCCAATGTGCCCCCAGAATTTTGCGTATGAAAGTCGGGGGCATGCGACAGACGCATATGCTGAAAGTTTAATTAATGTTGTCACGTGCTGAAACTGCGAAGATGAAATTCGTTTGTAAATTACTCCCAGCAGTGCCTACATATACGTCGTATAGGTGTATATATATGTATTAAATATTTTATATTTATTCGGGAATATCTGCTGCGGTGTAATGATGAATGAATGAATGAATGCCGCACCAAATGAATTTTCACTTTTCCTGGGCGAGTGCTTTAAATTCAATACACGCCCACACACACGCATCCTGGCTGTCCTTTTGGGGCTGATAACACTAAAGTTGTCTGCCTGACTGCTGAAGTTTAATTTGATACACAAACAGAGCACAAAACGTAACAAAACAAAACGAAAAACAGCGTACAAACAAAACAACATCCGATGAGGCCGTAAAACATTTAAATTAACGTCTCCTTCAAAGCAGTAACCTTGTCGAGGAGCAAAATGTGTGTGCCCGAGTTGAAAAGGCATTCCTGGAATGGTAGACATGGCAAACTGGCAAAAAGGGTCACACGCAGGCATGTCCATAAAGATAAAAACCATAACGTGCTCATAAAGGCGCAGAAAGGCGCCAACACTTTTCATCTACTGCCATCCAAAAGATAGATAGATACACTGAGGTATGAAATGGGATTCCAAAAAATCTTGTTTTGTTAATTTTCCAACTGTAAGGTAGAAATATCAGGAGTATTTGTTTGTATACCTGTTTTATTTAAAAGAAAATTCCCTGTCTCTTTATTTTCAAACAAAAAGTTTTATCTATAAAAAACTGTAACCCTGTCCGCTTTTATTATTACGTTGGTTCCAGAAATAACATATTTTTTCAGCATTTTAAGCGCGGATAATGTTGCAAATTTGCATTAAACCTAAAAAAATATCAACAAAAGGGGTTTACAGTGAGGAAAAACATGAAAAAAACTCATTATTTAAATTTAAGATTTAAGGATAAATATTTACCTTTGAAAGAATCTTTATTTTTCCTGTGTGCACCCACCTCGGATACTCACCCCAAAATGCATGTCAAGTTTTGTACCCCGCTGCGTATACTTAATGAAGTTGCCAGGAGATAAACGATTCGTTTTTGTGTACCAAAAACATTGAAAGGCCAAAAACAAAAGATAAATTGCTTTTAGGTGTACATTCAGTAGATTTGCCATTTATTGGATTGCTTTAAACAAACGCATTTAATGCACATATTTTCCAACTCAATAACATCAACGCTTAGCTACAGTACATAAATTACATGCAATTGTTTGTTCTCGTCCCTTCAAGCGACAACACAGATTTTGCAAATGTAATTTTTCGTAATTCGTATTTCGTTTTTCGGCAAAGGGGTGGGCAATTTGTTAGCTTTGAATCGATTTTGAAATATTTATAATATTGCAGCTAAGTGTACGACAGATAATTAATGCTTAATTGTAACTACAATTATTTATTCGCTATATTTAGTTGGAAGGTATTGTGTGAGTTTAAAGGAGATATGTGTATTTTACAGTTCACATCAACTTTCATTAACTATTTTACAGAGTGGCCATTATAAACAGTGTGAGTGTTTGTTTGTGTTTGTGTGGGTGTGTGGTTGGGCTCCCATTTTGAATAGATCGGCACTTAAACATGGCTTAATAAATATAACAGCAAATGCATTTTACCACCATCATCATAATGAGTATTCGAATCATTTTCATTGGAAATGACTCGCTGCAATTTTCAATTAGTAAGCAATTTAGATTTAATTATCTACATACATGAAATGTAAATTTAATTAATATTCCGGCCAAAAACACATGACTTTCAACAAAATGTGTTGTTGACTTTCGCGTGTGCGTGCGGCTGTTTGCCAAATTCAATAAATTCGCAACATTTCGGGGGGCTCATTATAGTTGCAAATCATTTTGCTTAGCAATGCAAATCGCAAAAGCGCCTGGCTTCACTGCACTTTCATTGAAATCGGGTGTTTTTCGCTTTCGGCTTTTGGTTTTTATGTTTTTTACTTATCATCTATATTTAGCTAAATCAATCAGTTATCTAATTAGTTGTACAAATATAATTTAATAAAGTCTTTGATAATTCAACTGTGGCCTAAGCATAAAACATTTTTGATTGCCGCCAGCCAAAGCGAAAATATGTTCGACCAGTTCAAAACCAAAACGATTTGGTTTTCATAATGCCTAGAAAATTAATTTATTGCGGGTTGCAAAATCAAACCCTTCAACATTGCAAATATTTAAAATATTTTAATTAAAAATGTTGAGTCAATAAAAAAATTCCCATAATTCCTAAAAATAGTTAATAATATCCTGGAAAAATGATAATAATGGCCGAACAGTTTTGCCTGGCTGGCCAAAATTCATTCTCTTTACACGGAAACCTCTTTGGTGTACTTGGACCGATCGTTCAGATCCAAGACCAACTTATCCGGCCTCTTGGGACGACTGGTGCCTCCACTGCCGCTGGTGGAGTTGTTCGAGTTATTGGACACATTGCCCAGGGAAGAAGGTGCCGCCAGTGGTTCCGTCTCCAGCTGACCTTGGACACCATCAATCTCCGCCTTTTCCGTGGCTCCGGAACTGGTGAACAGGACTATGTCGTCCGTGGAATGGGCCGCCTTGGTCCTCGCCTCGCCTCCCTCAATTTCGGCGGCCGTTGTGCGATCCAGGACCTCGATGCTGCGGGATTGGATCGGAGGATGCGCCTGCTGGCCACTCGGCTGCTGGCCAAGCTGCGGATTCGCCTGCGCCTGGGAGTAGCTGCCGCTCCGGCGGCGGCCAGTCAGCTTGTACTTACTTCTACAGTTATCACAAATTTGATACGAAATGCTCAGGTCGGCCTCCAAAAGGTTGCGTGGCTGCCGCTTGCAGCTGGTCGGCGGAGTATTGGTGGCAGCCGTTCGCACTGTGGGCCTCCTGCGTGGACTTCGCTGACCCTGATCCTGGTCCAGGTCCTCCGACTGGGAGCACATGCACTCCAGCTTGATGTTGGCAAAGCTCAAACTACCCTCGTCCTTGGGCGAGCCCATGTGATCGCAGGCGCTGCGCGGCGGACAGCAGTAGTAGTGCTCCTTGGACGCGTCCAGGCAGCGACTGCAGATGATGTGGCCATCGGCCGTCCGCCGGAGCAGCTGCTCCCGGAAGTCGTCGCCGCTCAGCTCCGTGTTCATGGCCCGCTCCTCGTACGCCGCCGAGGGCGGAGTCGAACTGGGCGGGGTTTCCAGCACCATGGTGGGAATACTGGCCCGGGCACTGCCACGCCCATTCGAGTTGTTGTTCTGCTGGCTGTACTTCTGCATCTCCACGTTGAGAGCCAGCAAGGGTAGGGCACTCTGGCGATTGCCGGCCGTGTGGCCTCCATGGGCCGTGGCTCCCGCCGCCGCTGCCACCACCATCAGGCCACCCGGGGTCTTGAGACCATCCAGCAGGCTGGAGATCGTCATCACCGCCACGCCCTTGGGCGGAGCCATCTCCTGGATGCGCTGCAGCTGCATGCTCAGCTGACGGATCTCCTCCAGCGCCTCCTGATCGGAGAGCTTCGTTTCTGCGGAGGGAAAAGGAGGGGGTATTGAGCTTATAATACATTTTAAATGCATTGTATTGATTCGATAATATAGATGTTTCCAAGAGAAAATTCCTTTTAAATATCCTAAGATATTTTAGAAAAGTTATACCTAAAGTCGTTAGACTGTAAAAAAATGCTATGATAAAGATAATGACAAATAATGTTCTAAAGACATTTAAAATGTAAGTAACTTAATAAATTGGGAACCATTAAATAACATACATTTTGCAAAGACATTGAGTTAGAGTAAATTATTATTTTTTATTTATTTTATTTTTACTAAGGCTGTGTACGAAATCTAATAAATTTTTACTAGTACCAGTTTTTGTTTTGAAAGACATTATATTAGTAGGCCTTAAAAAACTGATAAAAATCTAGTAATTTAAATTGAAGTTTATGGTGTTTAGAAGTCAGTGGTCTTTTATTTTAGGGCAGCCCAAAGGGTTAACCAAACATGGCTACAAATATAAAGGAGATACGATCTGCTTTTTGAGTGCCGAGCTGAAAGGGAGCAGTGTTTTCATTTTCATGCCGCGTTAAAAAGCGCTGCTCCCTGTTTTCCGCTGCCGCAGCCAACTTTTGCACTAAAAAAGTTGGCCGTCCATGTCAAAAGTTTCACACTACCCAGCCCCAGCCCCCCGAAAAAGCGAGCTGAAATTTAAATGCGTAATGTTTGTACCATCTGCAGAGGAGTGGAGGGGAAAGTGGGACCCTGTTGTGGCTTTGACTTGGGCTTGGAAAAGTGGCAGACTTCCTCTTTTCGCTGGCGGAATGATAAATGGCCATTCAATTCGGCTGAAAGCCTGTCGGTATGATTTAAGCCACGTCCACTCAAAAGCGACGCGCTATCAACTTTCAAATAATAAGGAGGAAAACAAATAAATTTACAAGCGAAAAAGAACTACCAAAAAAAAAATCGAATAAATTCCTTGACGGATTGAAAGCGACTTTGTGACCCTTCTCTCCTGTGAGTGTATTAAAAACACTCCGATTTTTTCCCTATTGTCCGTTGAATTTAGATTTATGGCTGTGAAATTAAGCGAGCGGAGCAGTCGACAGTGGGCAAAATTGAATTTATTATGTGTGCCCCTCTTAGTATGCAACACAATATTCCTTTTGCGCTCGCGAAATATTTAACATTCGCCACACAGATACAACTTGGCATGGAGTATGTGTGTGTGTGTGTGGGCGGTTGAGTGTTTGCTACTTTGTGATTGTTCAATTTAAATATGCAAATTGAGAGCCGCTTAAAAACTCGCCCAGCAAAAAGCAGAGACAAGGCCGTGCGGCAAAATAATGTAAATTTAACGCACAATTTGCGCAGCCACAGAAATGCGTTACGTTTTGTGTTAAAATAGAAATACGAGTAGGTAATAAAAAATTAAATAAAAACCTCTCTGCCGGACTGAGAGCCTATAAAGCATTAAAACATAAAGCGTCGCTCTCTGGCCATAAACTTCTGGGGGCGCAGAAAATTAAAAAGGTTCGCCATCAAGCCGAATAGTAAACATCGCGATAACAATGGCAGCCAGAAAGGTATAATGGCCAAAAAGGAGCCAGCACCGAAAATTACCTCTCTTTGAAATAAATCTCTGCGTACTTCAATTTTTTTAGCAGTTATTACGATTAAATTCCAAAAGAAAGCTTTTATTCCGCAGGCAAATGTTGCTCTTCATTAAAATTCACTAAATGCAAATAGAAATTTTTTTCGTTTTTGTTTAGATTTTTGTGAAGGCATTGCAAGATAAAAACTAGAAATGACAAACAATTGTTTTTAAAGAATGCTAGACATTTAAAAACAATTGCATTATCGGGTTTTCCCCATGGAATATTCACAATGGTTTCACAATGGAATATATTTAAACCTAATGAATTCCTAGTACCGCTTTTGCTATGAGATTCATTCATTTTTATTTCTCAGGAATTTTACGCTTTATGTTTGGTGGAAATTAATACTCATGCACTTTTTCATTAAACATTTTTCTTATAACAAGCAAATTATTTTCATTTCACTAAGCTTTGAGCCATCAATCGAAACCGAATATTGGTTCTTGAACTTGGCTTTGGTATAGAATTTAAATTCTAATCAAAAGTTATTGGCTCCCCGTTGCCGTGGCATCTGTGTAATTTCATAGTTCAATTACGGGCTCTTCACAGCTTTAAAGTTGCCCCGGGCAAATGAAAATTCCCCGGCAGCCAAAAACGGTAGTCCACCTTCGGATGGATGAATGGGTGGGTGGTCGGTGGGTGTTTGGCTGGATGGATGGTCTACTTGACTGCCAAGACCCCCCAGGGGAGTTCACATAGTTGTTTATACATCAAAGCCAGCGAAGCGATAAACAAATATGGCGTCGGCGGCAACTTGGCGGAAGTTTGCGCTTTGGAGCAGCTTCCTTCCGTGAAAACACGGACATACTCGTACACACACACATATGAATCTCGGGTTAACCGCAGCTAAGATTGTTTTGAAGGAGCATCCTCAGCAGCAGAAACGGCAAAAGCAAAAGCAGCCCATAAATCAGCATCCGAGGCTGTCAACTGGATGGGCCATGGCTCATGTCTAGACAGCAGCGATAAGCGTGCCACTGACGCCGCCTGTCCCGCTCATTTTTTAATTTGCCAAATAATACGCCATAAATAACCGTCAATCCAGGAGAAGACTTTATCGAAGCTGCACTCAGGGAAAAACAATTATCAAGTTATGGGAAGAAAGTGATTTATGAACGAATTGCAACTTGTTTCTTCGATTCTACAACTTCAAGTATTTGGTTAAAGTTTGTAATCTACTAAAAAGTTGCGTTATATCCTTTTTTTACTAAACATCCTAAGCAAAGAAAATAAAACGGGAAAAAATAAATAAAGAAACTGTAGATATATAAAAGCTATTATAAAGTTGGGAGCTCACAGTATTCATTGATCGATTGTATAATAAATATTTTCAAAAGTTCTTAAAAATTACTAAGACGTTCTATTTTTTTTTTAATTTAATTATTGAGCTATTACTTAAATTAAATATTTAAAGTCTTTGTGATATTATTTTAAAATGCTTGTTTTAATTCCTAAAAGATTTCTTAAATAACTCCGTTTATATTAATAAAGTTAACTTTTTTTTATCACAACAATTTCACATCATTTCTCTTCATCAATATGTACCGCCTATGTTTTTTTTCCCTGTACAACGCAGTACACTATATCCTAGTCCCCTCCGCTGATCATTTGTCAAGTGGACACTGTCGTTTGTCATAAGCGTCGATACGCTGGGACCATTAGGACAAATGGGGCAATTGCCCGCTATCGCTGGACGAGCAGTAGCACTCCACTCACCTGCTGATGTGGTGCCCGCCACCGGGACCGTGGAGGTGGTCACCGAGCTGGGATTGGCAAAAGTGCGCACTTGAGGACGAAAATTGAATTTTGCCCCCGATGCCTTGGTGCCCAGGCCGATGTTTTCCTGATGCGATTTGCCGCTACGCAGCACGATGTACACCTGCGTCAAAATGGGGCGATCTGGGATCAGGGAAAAGCCAAAATAGCCGGGCCAGGAGGACACTCACCTTGCTGCCAAAGATTAGGGCCAGGAGCAGCGTAACAGTCAGCTGCGTGTGGCAAAAGAAGATGATGTACAGCAAATCCGGATTGGCGGGCGACTGCAGGAAGAGCCTAAATTTATACATAAAATAAGTAAATTACTATAGCTGGCTTAAAACAAGGAAAATTTATTCAAAAATGGGAAAGGACATCTGTTGGAGTTCAATACTAAGAAATCAACTTAATACTAATTAGTTTGGGAAATCCATACAGCTAGTGGTTCACAGAACTCGTTGTTGAAAACTGGGAACATAAATATTACAGAAGAAAAAACAAAAACTTTCAGTTGAGCAGAATATTAAATGTACATAGTGGTTCTCGGTTATAGAAAACATGAAATCAGAGCTCGTTGTAGAACAACGATTCCGGGTACATAAATATTTTTACTGGCGCTCTTCATGTAAAACTGAAAAAAGTACTTCAGTTGAATGGAATTTTCTAGGAAAACATAAGAACTGTAGATGCATATTCATTTTTCGGCAGAATTATTTAATGACTGACTTTAATTATGCATTTTGTGGTTAAGTCATTGCCTTTCTTTATCTTGAGGTTAAAATTATTGCTTAATCAGCTCTAAATATGATATCAAATTGTATCACATCTTTATCTATCTTATTAAGATATTTTCAAGAGATAGTTAGTAGTTTCTTATTAAATATTGGCACTTACATGGAAACGTTAAGGAAGCAGGTGAGCAGGAACTCATTGTAGATGGCCATCGATATGAAGCGGCTCTCGTTGAACTCCGACGGCGCTTTCCGCACCATGATGCACAAACGAACGCCCCAGGCCAAGAACAGGACCTCCACTGGAAAATAGTTGAGAGGAGGGGGGAAAGGATTAGTTGCTTTGTTCACTTTTCGGGCTGCCCAGCTTCACTTTGAAGTTTAATTACCAGAACGACTGGCCGCGAGTAAGTATAATATTATTAAATATATTTAGGGAGAGGTTGAATATGCAGCAGAACCACTGCATTTTCATGGCTGCTGCTACCCGCTTTTTTTTTACTTTCCAACGAAAAATGAAAATGCATGTTGCCCAAGGCAAAAGTAGTTTTTCTGGCCAAATGTTCAAGCATGCAATTATAAATGTAATACGCGCATTTTTGGGTTGTAGCCAAGTCAAATGAAGTTATTTAGCAGCTGGCTGATGCCAAAGTGCGTGATGAACGCGAGAATCAGCGATAATTGTTGTGCGTGTGTGGCGGACAAAGGAACAAATGCAGATAGAAGCACTCAAGTCCTTGCTCAACTTTTTTAATTAAGCCAGCTGGCAAGTGGGACGCAGTTATTCCCGGCAAAATCCAGTCTCCCGCTGCTTCAACCCGGCTTATGGCACGGACCTGTCTCGCCAGGCGGTTTGAAAAAGCGGAAAAATCATTCATATGCACTTTAGAGTGGACCGCAGTTTATGGCCTGCTCTTTTTTCAATGTAAGACGAAAGAGGTGATTCGAATTTGATTTTGACGACAGAAATGATATGAATTTACAAAAATTAAATTATAATCAAAATAACAGCCTTTTAATGCCCTCAAGTTACAAAAATATATATTTAATCTTTGTTGGTTGATACAGGGATATCCTAAATTAAAATTCGTATTAAAAAATACTAAATTAAAAAAAAATTAATTAACTAGAAGCTAGTGACAAATATAATATTTATTTTCATTTTATTTATTTAAATTTTTTTATAATTAGAAGTTTTGATTTAAAATTTGATTAAACGACTTTCCACCCTAAAACCCATGGTAGAAAGCCAGTTGACATCTGGAGTCAGGGCAAGAGACCAGAAAAAGGGGGAAAATATTGATGGTGTTGCAAAACTAACAAGAGCAGCAGGTGTTCGTCCCACTGTGCCCCAAGCTATCGGTTGGCCTGGCAACGTTTTTCAGGCTGCTGCACTTTTGCATTTCTTCTCCGGCATTCAGTGCGTATACGTTATGAGGACATAGTTGTTCGTTCTCCCATTTCTTGTGCCATTTTTATCCCTTGCCAACAGACGGGGCTGCCTTAAAGTGGCCCCTGGAATGACATATTGCATTAGGTATTCCCAACTTACTCGATGTGAATGTGTAGTCCCACCAGTCGGTCTTGCAGAGGAAGGCCTTCAGATCGTCGGCAGTGCGACCCACCACCACATCCGGCGGGGATACGAGTGTCCTGACCAGCAGGCAGGTTCCAATGGCCCCGCAGATGATGCCCAGTCTCTTTAGCAGAGCAGCATCTGTAATTTTTACAGCCTTCGCCGAGCGAACTCGAAAAATAACCGAAATTCTGTGGGCGAAACCAGCGAAATAACAGGAATATGTATGAGAAACGTTTGGTATTTCTTACCGCCAGGTCTTTAGCATCAGAGCTCCATAAGTCAGTGAGAATCCAATCTCGCGCAGCCAAATGCGGGCGGTGCAGGTGTACAGATTGGGGTTTGGATACATTACAATGTTCTGCAAAAAAAAATATATAAATTGGTAAAGTTTAAATTTTCGTTTAAAAATAAAATAATTACAAGAAAATAAATTAGGATTTGCTTAGAATAGAATAGATATGTTCGTTACTTGTTTTTCACACCCAAAAAAAAACTTAATATAAAACGATGCTCGATTTGATGTTATGTGGTATTAATTTCGACATGTTTTTAGTAACGCTTTTTAAACGCTGTCCCGCTATGCGTATAAACACCAGAAATGTACCATGCGCATATCGATTTGAGCCCGGAATGTTTTTTTGTGTGTGTAAATATAAGGTGTCTTATCCTCCCCATAACCATTCAAAAGTTAAGTGCAAGCTAGCATTTGTCATTCAGGAGGCATTTTAATGAAACCCTCAAACAAATGTGACAATAAGCCAGCTTCGATTCGATATTGCCAGGCTGTCAGGGACAATAGGTTATTTCGGGTGCTTGTATTGGCTTCTATTTTGGGCTTTCTTCACGCCTTGCACATATTAAAAAATCATAAAGCAAACTGTGCTGACAGGGACCCTTCTCCACACCCTCGTTCTAGTCCTTCGATTCATCCTATGTCCATTGTGTGCTCGTCAAGAGATACTCATGGCGGCTAAATAAATCTGCCACACATAAATAAATCCCCAGATCCCCGACTGCTACTCGCCGGATGTTCGATGAACTCTCGCTTAAAGTTGTTTATTTGGCCGGCATCCCATTAGTTTCCTTCGCCAGCCATAAATCAATCAAATTAAATTGTGTAGAAATTGATGGGAATTGGGTTCGAGTTCGAGTTCGTTTTCGGTTATGGTTACGGTTTCAAGTGGTGGCTCTGTTTGCCGAACGCTTTTCTATCTCATTTTTCACTGCAAATGCAAATTTTGCGGCTATTTATGGCCTCGAGTGTTGAATGCCTCCATTGAGTTGTAATAATGTTCAACAGACACACTTTTGCCTCTCGAAAAACGTTTCATTTTGGCTGGCAAATAAAGCGGATGCATCTATATTTTCAATGGTTCTCAATTAATTCTCGGCTTGCAGTGAAAGCGAGAATTTTGCCATTGATTATGCCACTCAATTGAAAATAAATTGGTAAATTATTCTCGATGCAGTCGATTGACGACTAATCCGTATCAGTTTGTTTGAATTGAAAATTAAAATGGAAAAGGGAATGAAAATGAAAATGTAATGCCTTACTTACCGTGCAGTAAATAAAGAATGCACCCAAGGCGATGACCCGCAACAAAGCCGGACTGGCGGCCCTTACAACCTGAAAAACAAGACATTTCCAATTAAGTATTTTGCTGGCAAAGGCAAAAAGTTAGCAAATTTAAATTGAAATCGTTTAATCCGCACAATTTCACAAGGACGTAAGGAAATCAGTGCAGGACTCTGTCTCGAAGTTGGACCCCCACACTTGGCAGGATGTCGGGCGGCATGTTTAGCGCCATTTAATTAGTTTCGGCACACACTCACACACACACACCATCTCGCGCCCATTGGGGACTTCCCCGGAGACACAAATGCGACAGAATCGCATTACGAATGAAAACAGTTTAGTTGGCTAGTTGCCTTGGGACGCGGACAAGTGGAACGGGAATGGAAGCTGGGGGATATGGCGAGATGGCGGGTTTGGGGGATGGGGAATAGGATAGACAGCACACAAATGTCAGACTGCGACAAGGGAATAGAATAACTCACTTCCCTCCAGACCCTCTAGTCTCTCTCTATACCAGATTCACTTGAAAAAATAAAATACTATTTATAAAAAAACAGTGCTCTGATTAATCTTAACTTAAGTCCTCAAAAGATTATGGATTTTATTCGAACACCAGTTTATTTAACTGCTAGTCATGATCATTTTATAGAAAAATACATAATTGCCTTCTTTTTAAATTCTAAAGTCCTTTAAAAGAATATGAAAGAAATAAAATAAATAGGGGAGTGTAGGGTAAGGTGACGAACGATTCGTTTTTTGAATGTAACTTTTCTAAAAATCAATATTTTTTAAAAGTGTAAATGCAGAAAGTTGCTTACATCTACTGAGCATATCCCTGTAAAATTCGGATTCGAAATTCCAATGCAGCCAAGTGCCACAGCGTTTGGCGTGAACCCTTCTTTTTTTGCACTTTCAAAAGTTGTAGGGTAATGTGACGAACGATTTGTTCTTTAATGTAACTTCTCCAAAAATCAATATTTTTTAAAAGTTTAAAAGCAGAAAGTTACTTTCATTTACTGAGCATATTTCTGAAAAATTTGTATTCGAAATTTCAACGTAGCCAAATCCCACAGCGTTTGGTGTCAATCATCCTTTTCACAAACAAAAAAAAAAATTTTTTTATATATAATTTACGGAAAAGTTATTTTCGATACGGAAAAGAAAGAAGTAATAAGATAATACCGAAACTTACAAAAAAATGGTCAAAGTGCAATTTTTTAAATTAAAAAAATTTAAATTAAAAAAAATAATTAAATTAAACTGACCTCACTATTAAAAACAACAATAAAACTGCAGCAGTAAATGTTAACTGGTATTATAATATTTTTTTTACAAATAATTAACGATAACAATTAAAATTCTTGAATAAAAAAAGTTCGTCACAATACCCTACAAAAAGTTCGTCACTATACCCTACAAGGTAACCTTGGAGAAAAAACGGTGTCACTCTCAAACGGCGCAAAAGAAAAAAAGCGAGGTACCAAAAACTGTTGATAAAGATCTCATGTATACGTGCATATATTTGCCTGGTTTTATTTTCCACTCATCTTTGCTCTGGTACTGCTGAAACACAAGTAAATTGAATAGGTTTGCTAGTTTGCGCACCACATTTTTAGCGAAAATTACCTCACGAACAAATTACGGGACTTCCTATTAATATTACTGTAAATACATTGTCGACACGATAAGGGGAGACGACTACATTTACTACACTCCCCTACTAAATTAAAAACTGAAAAAATCCTTTATGAATTTTAAAAATTAAAGAGAGTCACAGAATTAAGATTATATCTACAAATTGTTGGACTATTAAAAAATACATATTTCTCTCAATTATATTAGCTGCCCTTATCCTACTTTTAATATTTTAAAATTATGTTGTAAATATTTTTATAAATTATTTTCCTCTGTGCATATATATTACATCCGCAGTGGACGCGAAAGTTGCGAATGCTTTAAATCCGAACGCCAGAGACAATTGGACGCCGGCAGCTAGACTTGTTCGCTGGTCTAATGAGCGACCGAGTGACACGCTGAGTGGAGTTTGTGGGCCAGGACCTTTCCTGGTCTTCTCCTCGCGGCGGCAGGAAACAGGAGGAAGCAGTAGGATGTGGGTGTGGCCAGTTGTGCGAATGTTTGCACTTCCGCTTATTCGCGACTATATCCGCTGTCCTGTTGGCTTGTTGCCGGCTGTCATCGGGCTGTTGACTGCCGGCTGCCAGGACTCCTGGATGGCCAGGCTGCACGTTCAAAATTAACTCGATTCTAACAATGCTAAGCCGCTTAGCGGCTCAATGATGACAGCAGCTTAGGTTGGCCCCGCTCGGGATCAACGGTATTTGACAGTGCGCACCGATACTCATAATAAAAAACAAGGAAAAACAAACGATGGACAGGTTCCGAGTGCTCGGGGATAATGCCTTTATAATGGCTTACAATTCCGGTCGGGGTTTTAAAAGATTTATCAGGGATTTTAATTCCACAACTGTGATTCGGAACTTGGCTTTGCAGCTGGTGAGTTTTTACAAGGAGAAGTACTAGAATTTTTTTTAGCACTACCAATTAGTTGATTGTTAAATTAAAATGGATTTTCTTTCAATATAGTCCAATTAACGGGGAATCAATTAAAAAAAATATCGTGTTTTGGTACCAATACATTGCATTTCAAGATTCAAAATATATTGTTGCATACTTGTAGACACCTTTACAAAAAGATGATTAAAAATTGTAATTTAATTCCCTTATTGTTGATATTAAATTGGTTCCATCGGCTAAAAAGTGAGTCCTTCTGGCAACCACTGATATTCTACTTAGGGGCCCCAAATACAAAGTGTTAAAATGCCAATGGCTCCGGTGGGACGGGAGCTCGACTCACCTTAACCTGCTGGTAGCGGAAGGTGAACCAGGCTGCCGGCGGCAGGAGCCCAATCACGATGCAGGCCAGCGCCAGGATGCTGGTGCGCATTGGCCAGTTGAGGGCGGCGATGCAGGGCGAGGAGTCCTCGCAGGAGTCACAGCCCTCGGCGCAGGGCAGGCACTCGTACTCGCTGTTGCTGTTGTACGTGGAGTTCTTGCCCTAATACATATTTAATGAGAATAAGGCTCTTACGGCGGCCACTTGGCACGGCATTCGCCATTCGGCAGTTGGCCAGGTCGAAGACGACTTACCAGCATCAGCTTCTCGTACTCCTCCTCCAGCAGGCTGCCGTTGAAGAACTTGTGCTGCGAGACGATGTCGGGGAAGTAGAATCCCTTGCGGCACAGGCATTTGTAGGAGCCGCGCCGAAAGCCCAATCCCATGATGGCCTCGCACTGCGAAAAGGCAAGTCGAGAAATGGAAATGAAAATTAAGTGCTGACTGCGGAGTTTTTTGGGGGTCTACACTGAGAGGAAATCCGCTTGATATCCTAACCATTGAACAGGTCGAATATGTTACAACGCAATAGTATTTATTTCCCAAGAAATTATATTGTCTTTGGTTTTTTTTTTAAAGTATACGAATAATTAAAACCAAATATTTTTTGTATTTTTAATAGTCTGAAAGATATTTATATATTGAAACTGCAGTCCCCACGCATTCGCTTATTTTTCTCATCTATAATTTTATATATTTATGTGACTTTCATAAAAGCTCTAACTTATGATAAAGGTGACCTTTATTCATATAAAGGTAACTCCCTAGATAGAATAAAATAGGCAGGTAAGGAACAAATAAGGATCCACATCCTTAACTACGTCATAATTTTGTAGTACTTCATAAATAAATTAAACTCTTTCTCTGTGTAGCCACTCAAGTCCACATATTCTTACCATTGTGGTGCGCTGCTTGCATTTGTCCGTGCCGGCAAAGATGTTCAGCGGTCTCTTGGTGCCGGGCGTGTGCCTCTGCGGACACTGGTCGATGTCCACCCGCCGCAAGTCAATATCGATGCCAGATGTGCCCCTGCAGGAATACAGGAAAAGAGAGAAAACAGGGAAAACAGCGAATCAGCAGGAGGCGTTAAAAATTTATGTTATTAATTTGTCAGCTTAACAATCAACTGGGCGGCACTTAAGCCAAATGGCGCCATTTATAAACTGGATTCAATAAGAGCCGTGTGTACCGACATCGGCGGATATTTATGGACATGGTCAGGGAGTCTCCCGTTTCTATTGCCAACCAGTCCTCAGCGATAACAAACAATAAATTCCTGCCCTGATTGTGCATATGTCTAAGGAGCCGAGGAGCTGAGGAAGGAGATTTCTCACAAAGGGATAAACTAACATGCGTGTTTGGTTCCGGCTTCTGAGGCCCGGAAAAAATAGCAGAAAATTATTTTCTTGCTGTCGTTGATGGGAATGGGATCGGGAATGGGTTGGCAATGGGTTGGCCTTGTCGTTTTACAAAGACATAAAGCCATGAAAAGGGTGCACTAAGCTGTCGACCCCTGGCCGCGCCCCTTCGTCAGCTAGTTGAAATCCCATATCCTATATCCTACATCCTATATGCTCCGTATGCCTCCACAAAGGTCGCCGTCGGCAATGGGCAGCCACCCAATTACACGCATACCTAAGCAGAATCCTGGAGGGAGACAGCTGGAGGTTCTCGGCCGGAACACATGTAGAATTTTACGCATAATCTCAGCCCTCCCACTCGTCCGCATTTTCACGCCGGAGCTGTCGTCCTTTCCCCGGACTTTTCCTTTAACCAAGCGGCAGGGAAAGTTTTCTTGTGGCATGATCCCTTCGGCACTTGCCTTGCTCTTTGTTGGCGCTTTTCTTTCTTTCTGCCTTTCAAGGTTTTTTAAAGGAATTTTCCTTTAAAGTTTTCAATGGAATAATATTTGATATTCATTATGCTTGCAAAACTGCACTTTGTGTGGATGGAGGTTTTTTTAAATTTGACTTTAAAGGTCAGCGTAATTTAATGATGACACACTCATAAAAATTAATTTCTAAATTTTGGAAATCTCGCCATTGAATCGGCCTACCTTTGAAAATAGAAAAAAAATTTCTTGTTATTAGAAAATGGTCCTTTGATTACAGAAAACCTTTCTTGATGGAAAAAATTCAAGAAAGAATTTTTCTTAAAAATAGAAAAATGAAAATCTCATATGCTTGTTTTGCCGTCGCAGCCAAAACATTTTTGTACGTATTTAAGTACAAAATCACCTTTGAATATATGAATGAAATGACCCTAGAATATAGAAAAATAGCCATTGACTTCCTTCGGCTGCCGAATGTTAACGACAAGAAAAACGAAGTGGGACGAAGGGCCTACTCGGCCCGACTACTACCCGGCTACCGACTTCTCTGATCCCCCGAGCGTCAGTTGTGAAAAAAAATTCGTGAGTGATGGACGTGATTTTCAAGCGGATAAGAGGTGAAGCCTTTTTCCGAATATTCAAAGGTATGTAAATATGTATATAATTTTTTGTATAGCGGGCGTACAATTGTATGTATGTAATTAAAGGATACATTTCAAATCTCTTTACCAAGCGTATACCAATTTAGGTGAATTGTTTTTTAGCTAAGAGCTACGTACATACATACATTTGTACATAAATTTGTGGGTGTACAGTTCTATAATAACTTTATCTTATTACTCGCATTTTATTTATTTTTCAGAGTGAAAATACCTGCAGTTGCATCAGCCAAATAATTTGTTTGTCGAAGCTGTAATTTTGTTTTAAAACCTTCTAAGGTAAGAAAAATATGTTGTATTTGTTTGACATACTTATGTATGCATGTAAATATCTATGCATGTACGCGGCTCACCCGATCTGAAACCCGATTTTCAACCCTTTCATATTCTGCTCCTCTCTCTCGCTCGCTTGACCTACGCGTCGCGACGTTTCTCTCTTCACCTTCTTAAAACTGACACGATCTGCCCTGCTTACATTCGGTCTCCCTTCGCGCAAAGGACTGTATGTAAATATATATGTATGTATGTACGTGTCTCTCCCGTGCCTCTCTCTCTCTCTGAAATTCGATTTTCAACCCTTCATTTTCTACCTGTCTTGCTCCTCTCTCTCGGTCATTCTGTCCAACGTGTTTGTATTTTGGCTATTACACTAGTTTACAGCCGAAATGCTCCCCAGCAATTGATGGCAAATTCTGTTAGTTTTAGACCCCTAGATCACGAAAATAGCACTAATTTTTTTTCGATGGCACAGTTTTTTTTTAAAGATTTTTTAAAGTTTGAAATGTTAAATTTCGGACTTTTTTCGAATTTCTTCTTATATCTCGGCAGATATCCACTTGGTTGAGCCAGTTTTAGTTTTATTTTAAAGTCAATAGATCAGAGCTTAACTTTGCTATACAGATTAATATGATTGGATGAGTAATGGCAGCGCAGAGGCTTGACAAAGATGAAAAATGTGTTTTTTGGTCGTCTGTAAGTCGGCTGTATATATCGTAAGAACTCGAAATAAATCCGTTGAAAAATCATAATGGGTACAAGCTTAAAGTTTACATCCTACCGAATAGAACAAGCTGAATATGGCCCAAATCCATGGAAAACTGGATTTATGGTGGATTTTTAAAGTTCGGATTTTTCCACTTTTTTCGGTTGACAGAGTCCAAATTTAAGATTTATCATAGGCGGCGACATGTAAACAAAAATAATTGGTGTTGGCAGCCGGGTCACTAAATAGCTAAATCAGATATTTAAAAGCTAGAAAATTATTAAAGTGAATTTAATTTTTGAAATTAAGGTTACTTTTTTCATAAGAATGAACTATCCAAATGGATAGTACTTAATTAAAAATACTCACAGTCATAACGCAAGCAATTTTATATTTTTAAAGGAATTTTCAGAAATTAAATTTATTTTATAATTTTCTAGCTTTTAAATTTAGCTATTTTTTGATCCGGCTGCCGTCACCACTCATTTTTGTTTACATGACGCCGCCTATGATAAATATTAAATTTGGACTCTGTCAACCGAAAAATGTGGAAAAATCCGAACTTTAAAAATCCACCATAAATCCAGTTTTCCATGGATTTGGGCCATATCCGGCATGTTTTATTCGGTAGGATGTAAACTTTAAGTTTGTACCCATTATGATTTTTCAACGGATTTATTTCGAGTTTTTACGATATATACAGCCGACTTACAGACGACCAAAAAACACATTTTTCATCTTTGTCAAGCTTCTGCGCTGCCATTACTCATCCAATCGTATTGATCTGTATGGCAAAGTTAAGCTCTGATCTATTGACTTTAAAATAAAACTAAAACTGGCCCAACCGAGTGGATATCTGCCGAGATATAAGAAGAAATTCGAAAAAAGTCCGAAATTTAACATTTCAAACTTTAAAAAATCTTTAAAAAAAAACTGTCCCATCGAAAAAAAAATAAGTGCTATTTTTGTGATCTAGGGGTCCAACACTAACAGAATTTGCCATCAATTGCTGGGGAGCACACCAAGAATATTATTTTGTAAACTAGTGTTATTAACATTACATTATTTCAAAAAAGTTGTTTATCTAAAAACAAATCATTGATATCCCAATTTTTTTATAGATGAGAAAAGGCGAAGAAAATGGATCACCTTAGGTCATATGAAGTTCAACAGACCTTGGGTAATAATAATGTTTTCTTGAGTCAAAAATGTGTTATTTAAAAATGTTTAAATGTTAAGTGTTAAATGTTTTAAATGTAAATAAATATAATATGCAAAAGAAAAAATCAAGTTACATTTTATTTTTAGGGTTTCAGTGTTAATATAAAACTTCCTTTCAAGAAATATTATTTCTTAAATCAAGAAATAAAATTTCTTAAAAGGAAATTTAAACAAGAAAGAATTTTTCTTGTCTAAAAGGTGCCTTTCTAAAAAACCCTTTCTTGTTTTAAGAAATTTAATTTCTTGAAACAAGAAACAAACCACCTTTGAAACAAGAATCGCCTTTCTTGTTTTAAGAAATATTTTTTCTTGTTTTTATGGTGGCATTCTAAAAAACCCTTTCTTGTTTTAAGAAATTTAATTTCTTAAAACAAGAAATATTTTTTCTTGTTTTAATGGTGCCTTTCAAAAAAACCATTTCTTGAAACAAAGGTGAGGTCGCCTTTGGCAAAAATTCAAGAAAGAATTTTCTAGATTTTAAGGAAATTCTTCGATTTTTTTTTATGAGTGCAGATTTATAGAAAAAATTAATCGTTTTGAGAGAACGCTTAAAAACACCCCTACAAATTCTTAAAAATAAATAGTTTAAAATCCAAAAAAAAAGGTCCTTACTCAACCCTCAACCCGCCACTCTCAATCAAAAATTGAAAAATTTAATGGAACCCGAATTATTGAGGCAGGAGGCGGCTTTCCCGAGAAGGGTGATTTCCATTTCGTTGGTTCAAAGAGAAAAGTTTCACTTGAACCTTTTGCTTTTTTTTTCAATATGCCGACTCTTTCGCTATAATGTGTTTGTCCCGGCCATATCCGGTGGCCAATGGATTGGGTAAGGATTCGAATTCCCGGGATCGGAATCCGGGATTGGGTATTCGGGATTCGGTATCCCGGACTCCCGGACTCCAGACTCTCCCGCCTGGCTGTCAGTTAATATTGACATATCAGTTTGTATTTATTTGATTGTTTTTGACAACTTATTGATTGCGAAATTCGGGAAAAAGGACTGCTGGGAAATGCACAGCGGCCGAACTGGCTGCACAATGGCCATATTACATTATCGTAATGATTATGTTAATTTCCAGGCAGTTGATCCCAACGCCTTTGTGTCCTGTATGTCCTGTGTGTGTCCTTCGTATATCCTGCAACCCGACTGGCCTTTTTTTTGTGCCGTATTATTGGGCCAACTTCAGATGGATATGTGTTCGTGTGTTATTTCTCATTTCTTATTTGCCTTTGCCATTTATTTGCTGTGGTTTCATTTTCCCTTCTCATACTTTGGGCCCTTTGTCTGTCTGTCTGGCTTTGTTGTTGTTGACAGTTTTTGAAGATAATTTGTAAACGGATATTAGAAAATAAGCTGATTGAGCCGACCGAATGAGTTTGTCCTGTTTCCGTGCCCGAAATACATACGTGTTTGCCACATATTGATTTATTGGTTTGCGCCCTAAGCTATTGGCTGATGTGACAATGTTTGCCTATCTGGCGGACACTTGATTTATATGACAAACGCCTTTCCACAGAGCTCTGCCTAATGCCTACAAATGAGCCATAATCGAGATGGATTTTGTGTATTCTCCTGGCCCCCGAAAATGGCTAATGGAAGCGGCCCGAAATGATGAAGCTTCTCGGACAGGCCTGTTGAATTCAAATTAAGTGTGACATTTGTGGCAGCAGCTTGACTTAAATTGGTCCGTAATTTAACGGCGTTTGATTAAATCCAGCTGCGAGAGCAGTTTAAAGCGTGGGAAAACTGAAATCACAGCACTTTTGGGAGATACGGAGGGTTGCAACTTGCAATTCCGAGCACGTGCAACAAACACGCACTACGTGAATAAGTGAAATGCATCTGAAGAGCTTTTCTTGCCGGGATCCTCTTCACTCTCAAAAACCCCATCCTAATACCCGCCATACATGCACGTGCCAGCTATTTAAAACTGGCGACAGCAGTGTTCCCTGGTTGCTCCATTTGCGAGTTCATAACCAAATTCGTAACCAAAATATGGCAGAAACTTTATTGCAGGGAACGTAATAGCATGTACCACCAGAATCACACCCAGCCAAACCAAACCAATCCACCATCACGCATACCGTTTTGTTGCCAGTTTGTAAACAACTCATCTGCTGTAGCTGCGCCACATTACGTATGCGCCATGCGTGCCCAATTTTCGGTCGTGCCAGCTAATGCACATAATCAGGTTTGTAGTTTGCACCTCGCCGGCAAAGTGAGCTGTGGCTTGTTTGGAAAGCCAGTGATGCCAAATGTCTATTTCGGAAAAAGGCCAGATTTACCAGGAAATGGTAGAAGTAGATTTTGGATTTACCAGAAAAGATATATCATTTTTGAGGTGATAAATATTTATTCTTTTATATATATTACTTGTTTATTTAAATGTTCTAATGACCCTGACTTTTAAGTAAGTAAATGCTATAAACAAAGTATAGCTTTAAAATCATCGATATTTTCGATATTTTGACAAGATCGATTCGATAATATTAATGTTGTGAAAAGAAAGCAAAAATTCAATACCAAGAATAGGCAAACTTTCGATATTTTTTCAAGCCCTAAAACAAAGGAAAGAAAATATAATTTCTAAGTCTTGAGGAAATTAGATTGAATTGATAAAAGATTTCTCAATATTGAAATCATCGATAGAATCGATATTGTAAAAATATCAAAAATATCGATAATTTCCTAGCTCTAGTCAAAATGTGTCCCGTTAAAAGACATGCCGGCAACTCTGATCAAAGCTCTTAATCTGCCATATTTGCCAGCCAGCTAGGCGGCCTTCACTTACAAACTAATTTAAAATACGTCCCGATGACAGGGCCAAATGGATGTCAAACCTTTTTGGCCGGCTGAGAGCCAGGGTAATACGGCTTAAAGCGAGGACACCTTTAAGGGAAATTTAATGGAGTTCCCCACGCGCAAACTTGTGATCTCTGAGAATTCCTTGATGATTTCCCTGAAACTCAGTTCGCCTAATAAGTACTTGGCTTTCTTGCCCCCGAGCTTTGGTTTAAAATACCTGGCTAAGCTGTAGGCCAGCCCTTGCTTACTTGCCATTGCCAGTTCTCTGGAATACTGTGTGTTGCACATGCAAATCCATAATCAAGCACATATTCAGTTTCTGCTGCCGTCTACACAAAGGCTGGCTTATTGCCTGATATTTGAGATTTCCGTTTCCGTTTGCATCATTATGCCGGCTCCCCAAGAAATGCGGGATGGGCGTCAGACTGAGCCATATTGCAGCATAAGTCAAGTAAATACAATGCCGGGGATTACAATCCTGCTGTAAATGCCGTCCCTTTGGCCCTGTTTAATATTGAAACTTTGTCGCTACCCGCAGAGTTGTGAGCGCTAAGCGAAACTTAAATGAAATCAAATAAAATTATTGCCCCAGCAGGAGGTCCTGGGTCCTTGGAGCCCACGACTCGGCCTCTCGTGTCCTTTCGCAGCGGGCGCCTAATGTGATTTGTGCCTTTATCCTCCTCCGTTTGGCCAAATAATTTATAATAAAATTAACTTTAACTTAATGTGGATACTTATTGTTCGGCTTGGTTTGGCTTTGCTTCGCTTAGCTTGGCTTTGGCCGCCAGTGAACCTGCATATTTCATGCAATTAAGAAAAATGAGTCAGCTACACACACCGCATAGCAAATTAAATTAATTAGCAAGTTTCCGCCAAGCTCCTCGTTTAGTGCTCTCTCTCATTTTTTTGTGTGCCCACTGCTTCCGCCGCAACGTAAACAAATTAATTTTGCCAACTAATGGGAAACTGATAGCAGCACATTATTAACATGAGCCGGAACACGGACTTGGTCATGGTTGGGAATGTGGGATCCTGCCCACTTTTGCACCGAGTTTCAGCTGAACTTTAGTCATTTCCCCCCTCGTAAGCCGTTGAAACAAATGAGCTTTGTTTGACGTGGTCCTGCTGCCGGACTGCATTCTATTCCGACCATTCTAACCATTTTTACTGTGCAGCCGCCACGCGGTCCAAACTAGAATGAACTAACGAACTTTTAACATTTCCACATTAATTCCGGCAGGCCGCTACAGTGGGAAAACTAGGTGAAATATGCAATAAAATGCATTATAAAAAACAAAAGAAGAGCGAGACCGTAAAATTAAAATTAAACTTTTTTAACAAATTACGGGGAACTAAAATATACAAGTAGATAAAATTTAACAGCTGAAGTTTCTAAGACTCTTTCAAATGCCAAAAGAGGTGTCTAAAAGTATGCAACAAAATATGTTTAACCCAAAAGTGATATGAATTCATATAGGAAGAGGGAATATTAGTATTATTTCTATTTCTGGGACACCTCAAAATATATTAATTTTCCACAAAGTTTGCATAAAGTATAGAGGGCTTGATAAAGCTGGACAATAAGTAAAGCAAATGATAAGTTTAAAAGGTTTAAACTTCCGTATTTAATAGTTTTTTTTTAGATTTAAATTTTATTATTTTTCTGAGTGTCTAAAATCTCTAGGGAAACTAGAATATTAGCTGAATTCTCCACGACGACAATTGCTACATTCACCGCTCGTCCCACAGTGCCTCCTTCCACTTGGGCTGGCCAAATTTATGTTGCAACTAATTGCAGGCAGTTGCCTGGCTTTCGCCAGCGGCAGACAGTTTCCTTTTCCCTTGTGCGGAGCTTTGGAGGTCCTGTCCTCAAGAGGAGCAGCCTCCGAACTCCTGACCCTCTGACCCCAGACTCTGTGAATTTTCCCACTGGCTGCGTGTGAAATTTATTGAGCGTGCAAAGTCATCGAACGTTAAGTAGGCATGTGTGAGGGGGCAGAAGTGATGGGGAGCCCCAACTTTATAATTGATTGCTTTAATTAAATTTTGAAAACGCTGGCTGCCAGCCCACCTGCCAGCGGAAATAGCTCTGGGATAGAGCATCAGAGCATCGCATCCCCACGCCGCTGTGTGTAACTAAATTTTAAACGCTTACTTAGGCCAAAGAGAACTGCTTGCAATAATTACGGAAGCCATTAGGCAAGGTCTCTCGTAAAGGGCGGAAAACTGGTTGAAAAATTGTCAAACAGATATGTTCTTGCCTTGGCTGCAGCTGGTTCTACTTCTCTGTGGCCTCACAGCCACGTGGGCTTTTTTGTATCGCGTTGATTGGCCCAAAAGACAGTTGGGTTGGTGGCAAAAGCAATACTACCAGTCATCATGTGAGTTTTGCTTCCCATTTTTAAGAAAATTTTCCAATAAAATACCTGAAAATATTGTGCATTTTGTAATATGCAACTGATAATTTAATTTCAATTAAATTAGATTTCTGTATAGCATTCAATGCCACACATTTATCTGTCAATCAGGCTTGCCCGCCGGCTTATCGATTAAATTTAAATAATTTCAAAAGCCATTCGTAGGCATACATTAAAATGTATTATTGATTGAACACAGCCAAACCGCAGGCTTATCATACGTTTATACATTTTCAAATCACTGTGACCTGCCTGCATAACAAATTAATATTAAATCTCTGATCCAGGGCACCAGAGGCTGCGGTTTACGACTACCCCGAAGCCAGGAGCCACCCCCGAGACGATTGAGACCCGATTGGTGTACCCGTGCTATTGCTATAAGCCCTCTCTCAAAGGCTTGGCCACCGCCAGTCCCGTCGAAAAGCGAATGATTGAGACCAAGGAACTGTTCTTCTTGAATAAATAATATTTATAAATTAAATTTTCAATAAATTCTTTTTGCTACCTATATCTATTCCTATTTACCTATACCCAAAAAAACTTGATATGAAACGATGATCAATTTGCTATCACGTGGTATCAATTTGACTTGATTTGCGGTACATTAGTTCGATATATATTGCTTATTGCTCTCTTTTGCGATTTTAAATTAAATCAACTTTACTAGTATTGCATGGTAAAAGCGATATGCGTATAAGTATCAGTAATTTACCATGCGCATATTGATTTGATCCCATTTTGTTTTTATACCCGTTACTCGTAGAGTAAAAGGGTATACTAGATTCGTGCAAAAGTATGTAACAGGTAGAAGGAAGCGTTTCCGACCCTATAAACTATATATATTCTTGATCAGGATCACTAGCCGAGTCGATCTAGCCATGTCCGTCTGTCCGTCTGTCCGTCTGTCCGTCTGTCCGTCTGTCTGTCCGTCTGTCTGTCTGTATGAACGCTGAGATCTCGGAAACTATAAAAGCTAGAGGATTGACATTTTGCATGCAGATTCTAGGAGTTCCTACGCAGCGCAAGTTTGTTTCAAAAGGGTGCCACGCCCCCTCTAACGCCCACTTTCGCTAATATACGATTTTAAAAATTTCAATATTTCGGAAAAGTAAAAATGCAGTTTTATGGTGTTTATCAATACCTATCGAAATTTAAATCGGACCATTCGTTAAAAAGTTACGGCGGATCAAAGTTTTTATCTTCATCTCCTTCGCACTTTCTTTAGCTGAGTAACGGGTATCTGATAGTCGGGGCACCCGACTATAGCGTTTTCTCTTTTTTTGTTTGTAGTAAAGCTTCACAAATCCAAAGCCTTTAAGTCATTGCCTTAACTGGTGTTCCCTGTTCTCTGGTGATTTTTAAGACAACAAGCAGATAAAACTCACGCAGCCATCTCGTCTATCCCAGCAGCAAAAGCAATTTCAGTTGGTCGAAAAACAAAAGCCACGTAATCCTGGGCACTCCCCACCGACACTAACTCAGCCACTAAGTGAAAATAGTTTGTTGGCCAAAATGTGCTTTTGCTTTTGCCTTCGCAATCTGCTGTCTGTTTTGTTGTCTGCTGCCAGCCAGTGATAATTGCGAATTATGGATGAAGTAGAGTGGAAGTGCAGATGGCAGCGATGACTGACTGCCACGCCCCTTGTGGCACCCTGCCCCCCATCGCCCACTTTCACCAGTCGGTTGTTTTGTGATAAATATCAAAGGGGTTCTCATCCAACAACTGTCATTAGGCTGATGGCTTACAGGCTATAAAAGCGTTTATATTTGTAACTTTAATTCCTGGAAGCACTTTCTATTTCCTTTGGCAAGCACTTGCATTTATCGTATATTTCTTGGAAAAACATGAATCAGCTCTTAACTTTTGTAAGCTCGAGCTTATGGTGTTTGATTCCAGGAAATATCTGCATTTAAGTATAAATATCTAAGCTCTTCAAAGTTGAAAATTCTTGGGAATATAAGAACCATCTTTTTAACTTTTAAGAGACTCAACTATAAATTAAATTCCCGTGTTTAATGAAAAGAGCAAATATTGTTGTTTTTCAATAAAAACTAACTAGTCTTTAATTTATTGATCTGGGTCAACAGCAATGAAGTTCTCATCAAGCTGCATAGCTGGTTTATCGCTTTTTCTTTACGCTGCCCCGCCAACTTGAGAGCATCATTCAATTGAAAAAGTTCCCAAAAGAGCCGGGAAACATACAAAACTATTTGGATAGAAAAGAGAAGGGGGGAAAATGGAAATTATTTAAACTAAAAAAAATCCAAGATAGATGGAAAATGAAGATGAAAAGATAGCACGTTAAAAAAGTTTTATAAGATGCTGTGTTTTTTTTGTTTAAAGTACTCAGTTTTTGGGCCGGTGCGTGAGCGGAATTTGGTAGCAGTCGATGTTGGGGAAAGGGCTCTAAAACTTAAACTCAGTTGGTGGCACACTGAACGTGCCACACGAGACCCAAACCCAAAAACGCTGCCCAAGAGCAGCAGCCATTCAACTATTCAATTACTTTTGCCTTTTCTAGACAAAAGCCAAAAACTGGCACTCGCTCAGTTTTTCTCAGACTTCTCCGGCTTTTCCGTCCTGCTGTCGCTGCCAGTGGCGGGTGCTTTCTGGGAAAACTGCACTGCTGGCACTTAGCGAACCATTGCAGTTTTCTTTCAAATTTCCCTTGCTGCGAATTATTTATAAAATGCTCATCTGGCGGCATCCGTCATGTGCATGAACCCAAGTACATACTTGTCGTTGTAAACCATGCACATGCACAGGAAAAATTGAATTCATCTTCCTGATCGATCAAATGAATACCGCAAAAAAGCTATGCATTACAGAAACAACTGGGTTTTTAAAATCATTAAAATGTTATGGGTGCTAAGAATATGCAACATTAATTTTTCATGCACTATAAAATGAAAACTTAGAATGTATATCTTGCAAACGTAAAAATATTAAAACTGTACTTAAGACGAGATTCAAATTAGTTGAAATAAAAAAGAAATCAAAAATAAAATAAATATTTAAAAATTTAAAAAACATTCTTGGGTGATAGATTTAATAATGAATCCAATAAGTAGAAAGATCAATTTCAAACTAAAATTTCTGACCATTTATTTATGTAGATTATTTGAGAATTCAACCACAAATAATTTGTTTCACAATCTTATTGTCAGAACAAAAGAACAGAGGAAATGGTATGCAAAGAGCGCTGATAAGAAGTAGCGAACGAGATTACTTTCCGTGAAGTCAACAACCGGAAGTTCTTGTTACCCTCCATACTTAAAATTTTAATCAGTGCTGACGTAAGTCGCTGTTTATTTCAAGTACATTTTAATAGATCTCTTCGAGAAGTTATAAATCTTCAAAATGCCTAATTTGGTATTTTCCTTGATCGTCCTGAATTTGTTTGAATGGGACTTCCGTATGTCAACTGACCGATGCTCCAAGTCAAGTTTTGCCTGGCCGTACTACAACCACTCTTAGATAACTGTCGCAAAAGCCAGATAAAATTGAACCGCTTTGAGGAAGAACTGGAATCCCTAAAGACGATGTATCCATTTCAAGGGAAGAATTCAATGCGAGACTTAACGTTTCCGAAGGACAACTGGTGGCTGTAAATTCAGAAATAAAGAGTCAGTTGCAGTTGCTACACACCAAAATAAAAGACCAGGTGACAACGATACAAACCAAGCTAGTTGCCAATCTTCAGGTGTTAAGTACCGAGTTCAAAAGTCAACTGTGTACTCTACAAATGAGTACCGAAGACCATCTATTCAGGAATCCCAGCAAAAAACCATCACAAAAGAAGATTTCGAGGCGAGACTAAATGGAACGGAAGGTCGCATTCTCAACTCAAAATGATCAGAAGGCAACTATACATAAAACATAGAAAAATGTTCAAGATCACTCATTAATCCATAGTTCATCACATTCAGTTACATTTCGCCTGGCCTAGAAATCTTCTCTTGTTATGGTATTTTTCAGGGATTCCTGAAGACGTTTCTGGTGGTCTTTCGTAGTCCTTTTTTGTCACTTGTAGAACACTCAGTTGGCTTTTGAGTTCAGTATTTTACACCTGATGATTCGCAACCAGCTTGGTTTATATAGCTGATTCCTGTTCTTTTATTTTGGTGTGTGGCAACCGTAGTTGATTCTTGATTTCTGAATTTACCTCACAAGTTGTCCTTCGGAAACGTTTGATCTCGCACCGAATTCTTCCCTTGAAAAGTTCCTCTTCCAATGCTTCTTAAATGCGGTTTAATTTTATTCGGTTTTTGTGATCGTTATCGCATAGTGGGTGCAGGTCAGCCAGGCAAAACAAAATGCCCGAACTTTTAGCAGTCAATTATCCTGATGGTCAGCGATCCAAAGGAACTCAGGACAATCACGGAAAGCTCGAAATTTAAAATGTGGAATAAATATAACTTAACGAAGAGAACTCTTAAAACGTACTGAAAACGATCTCTGTTCTTAGAAGCAATGAAACCTTATGAACTGGCGATAGCATCCGTTGGCTGTCTACAGCTTACGTCATCACTGATTAAAATTATATATATTAAGGGTGAACAACTTCCAGATGTTGGTTTTACTTCTTATCAGTGTTTTTTGAATGCCATACCAAGTACAATACCGAAATATATTTATAGTTCTAAATTTAATATTTTGAATTTAATTTTTTTTAAAGCAACCTTTTTAAAATTTTTATTTTCTGAAAGCGTTATAATCATTAAACTCCACGATTAAAGAGTTTTATTAATCTTGATCAGATAATAACGATTTTCATCGCATATAAGATTTAATATTTCTTTAATTTTAAAATTCGTTCTCTGTATTTGCACTAGAAATAAATATCGATTTTTTCGCATACTTACTTAAAGTGATAGGTGCCGTTCTCGTAGCCAAAGAACGGCACCGTGTAGGTTAGCATCCAAATGTTGCCGCCACCGCAGTCGTAATACGGTTTTGACCATCTGCCATCCTCATATTTCACAGCCAGCGTGTCGTCCTCGATGCGCTCCTCCGTGCGGTTCGAGTAGAGATGAAAGGCTGCAAGGCAACAGAATGGTTTCAATAGCGTTATCCATTATGCAAACTGTAATTAGAGGACCCAGAAATCGATAAGCCTTTCACGGCAGTCAGCAGCTCTGTGCTTCAGCGAGCTATTCAGTGCGCCCCATAGGGTACACAGCGAGAAATGTCCCATTTTCGGATTTTTGGTTCATTTAAATGCTTAAAAACAATAATATTTAATTAAATATAAACAAATTAATATAAGTACATCGACTATCAAAAAAAAAATCAACTGCTTGTACGCTTGAACTCCATTATTTGCTCATAACTTTTTAATGAATGGTACGATTTGAAAACATTCTCCTTCATTTCGATAAATATTATTAAACACAACTAAATTGCACTTATTTTGAATGAATAAGAATGTTTGATTATTGCTCATAATTATTTGCTCATAACTTTTTAATGAATGGTACGATTTGAAAAAGTTCTCCTTCATTTTGATAAATATTATTAAACACAACTAAATTGCACTTATTTTGAATGAATAAGAATGTTTGATTATAAATTTAAATGTGATTGCAAGCTGTTATCAAGAGTCCTCTTAAAATTGAAAACTATTCAAGCTAGTTTGCTTTCCTGAGTGCTTCACCTTGATTATTTGCATTGCCTAAGCCATTCCTGCGACTAATGACTTTATAAATGCAAACACGGGGCCTTGGATGACTTGGGGGATTCTCTGATGAATAAAACAAAAATGACAAGACATTAAAAGCAAATCAGGAAGTGCAGTTCTTGCGTATAAAAACCCCTTTTCCAGAAATCTGTACTTTAAAAGTATTAAATCGAAGCTAGTAAGATGAAGAAGCCGCTCTTTCAACGCCTGCAAACGGCACCACTTGACGGAAAGATTAGTTCCTTGGCAGCCAGTGATTACTTTTATCGCATTGCATTCGCCTTGGGTTGGACACCTCCCAAAAAAGGATTACTGAGATGGATCTACTGCCTGTGGACTGTGACCACCATGTGGCTGGGGATTGTCTATCTTCCCTTGGGACTAACCCTCACCTATGTGAAGCACTTCGATAGATTTTCGCCCACTGAGTTTCTCGCCTCCCTGCAGGTGGACATCAACTGCATTGGCAATGTGATCAAGAGCTGTGTGACCTTCACCCAGATGTGGCGATTCCGCAGGATGAACGAATTGATTTCATCGCTGGATGAGAGATGCGTTAGCCCATCGCAGCGTCAGATTCACCATAAAATGGTGGCGCGGGTTAATCTCATTGTGATCCTGTTTCTGTCCACCTACCTGGGCTTCTGTTTGCTAACCCTGTTTACATCCGTTTTGGCCGGCAAGGCTCCTTGGCAGTTGTACAACCCATTTGTGGACTGGCGGAGTGGCTATTGGCAGCTATGGATTGCCTCGATCTTTGAGTACTTGGTCGTCTCCATTGGAACCATGCAGGAATTGATTTCGGATGCCTATGCCATAGTGTTTATTTCCTTGTTTCGCGGTCATCTGGCCATTCTCCGGAGTCGCATTGAAAATCTGCGACAGGATCCGAAGCTCAGTGAGAAGGAGAACTACGATCAGTTGGTGGCCTGCATCCAGGATCACCGCATTATTATACAGTAAAATTAAGTTTTATATAATATTCCACCTAATCTTAAAGACTCTTGATTTTTAGATGCTCCCAAATTATTCGTCCCATCCTGTCGATCACCATCTTCGCCCAGTTCATGCTGGTGGGCATTGACTTGGGCCTGGCCGCCATTAGCATCCTGTTCTTTCCGAGCACCATCTGGACCATTATGGCGAATGTCTCGTTTATCCTGGCCATCTGCATGGAGTCCTTTCCCTGCTGCATGCTCTGCGAACATCTGATCGAGGACTGTGCCCGTGTCAGCGATTCCTTGTTTCACTCAAATTGGCTGACGGCCGATAGGCGTTACAAATCGACAGTTATTTATTTTTTGCACCGCGTTCAGCAACCCATACAATTTACAGCTGGCGCCATTTTTCCCATTTCGGTGCAGAGTAACATTGCGGTGGCCAAGTTTGCCTTTAGTATCATCACAATCGTCAATCAAATGAATCTGGGCGAGAAGTTCCTAAACGACAAGGCAAATGGCGGGGAACAAGAGCCTTAAAGTGCAGTGCAAAGAGAAAAGTTCTTACACTAATATTTGCATCCCGACACTTTCGCACTTTGTAGTCTGTAGTATCCTATCCGCCATCGCTTGCACACGCACTAAACTTTCTAGAAGTGAGCATACACTTGAGGATTTCAAGTATCTTTAAGGCCGTGTAAGATGGGATATCAAGATGAGGCGGGTCAAGTTAAAAATGAAATATATGCTTAGTAATGATTTTTGATTCTTTTAGTCAGTGAAGAAATAATACATTTTATTTTAATTTTAAACTGTTCATATTCCTTTTGTTCAATTTTAAAATATATGTGTCCTATTTTAATTGTATTGAATGTTAGAAAATTATAATAAAGGATTTCCCCATAAAGTCGCTTTCAAGTTTAAATAAAACAATTTGTTCCGTCATTTAAAGGACAGCCAACCATTTTCCCTTTAAAAAAGTAATTTTCTTTCCTACCCTTTAAAATTTAAAAATTCAACTGCCAGTCCTTGATTGATTTATTAACCAATACCCGCCAACAATTAACTATTGAGCAGACTAATTGACAGTTGACAGCGGTGCTTGCACCTCAATAATAAATCCCCCATAGCACTTAACACCTGACCATGCGGTGGTTAAGTCTAATTACAGGCTGCAAAACGAAGGGCGTGTTTTTGCCAGGGAATCGAGCACCTGTTCAATTATCGCCGGTCATGGGTGAGAGTATAAAATGAAGGTGCGAGAACTGACCAGGTATTCAGTGTTCAGTAGACAACATGGTGCTGTTCCAGCTGATTAATCCGGCGCCGCTGACGGAGAAAGTGCAATCCCGCCAGGGGAACATATATCTGTACAGGGCCATGTGGCTGATTGGCTGGATTCCGCCAAAGGAGGGAATCCTGCGATACGTCTATCTCTTCTGGACCTGTGTGCCCTTCGCCTTCGGGGTGTTTTACCTGCCCGTGGGCTTCATCATCAGCTATGTGCAGGAGTTCAAGAATTTTACGCCCGGCGAGTTTCTCACCTCACTGCAGGTGTGCATCAATGTTTATGGCGCCTCGGTGAAGTCAACAATTACCTATCTGTTTCTATGGAGACTGCGGAAAACGGAGATGCTATTGGATCACCTGGACAAGAGGCTACAGAACGACAGCGATCGTGAAAGGATACACAACATGGTGGCCCGCTGCAATTATGCCTTTCTGATCTACAGCTTCATTTACTGTGGTTATGCGGGTTCCACTTTCCTATCGTATGCCCTCAGTGGTCGTCCTCCGTGGTCCGTCTACAATCCCTTTCTGGACTGGCGCGATGGCCTGGGTAGCCTGTGGATCCAGGCGATCTTTGAGTACATCACCATGTCCTTTGCCGTCCTGCAGGATCAGCTATCGGATACCTATCCCCTGATGTTCACCATTATGTTTAGGGCCCACATGGAGGTGCTGAAGGATCATGTACGAAATCTACGCATGGATCCCGAGCGCAGTGAGGCGGATAACTATCAGGATTTGGTGAATTGCGTAATGGATCACAAGACCATATTGAAGTGGGTGATTTCTATTGATAAGGCTTATAGGAAATTTAAGTGTGTTTCTTTACCAGATGCTGTGACATGATAAGGCCCATGATATCCCGCACCATCTTCGTGCAATTTGCCCTGATTGGCTCCGTTTTGGGTCTAACCCTGGTCAATGTGTTCTTCTTCTCGAACTTCTGGAAGGGCGTGGCTTCGCTCTTGTTTGTAATCACTATCCTGCTGCAGACCTTTCCCTTTTGCTACACCTGCAACCTGCTAATTGACGATGCCCAGGAGCTATCCAACACGATTTTCCAATCCAACTGGGTGGATGCAGAGCCGCGTTACCGGGCCACCTTGGTCCACTTTATGCACCATGTCCAGCAGCCGATTATTTTCATTGCAGGCGGCATATTTCCCATCTCCATGAACAGCAACATAAGCGTGAGTTATCTTTTTACCCCAATATCAACTCAATTTCACATTTGACCACTTTTTTAGGTGGCCAAGTTCGCCTTCAGCATCATTACAATAGTGCGACAAATGAATCTAGCCGAGCAGTTCCAGTAGAATTAGCTCACAAAAATGATTTCAAATTATCCTGCACAGAAATAGCACCCCCAAAAAAAGAAAAAACAGCCTCCCAGCCTTACTGTATACTTTATGCCCGTGATTTGCATAAAATGTGTATATGTTTCGGCTTATCTCATAAGATTTTGGCTGATTTAGTTGGTAAATGGTAATGGCCATGGCAAAGGATGTGAAAGTCAGACTGAATTTGCAAATTGCGTTAGCAGACGGAAATTACAACAGCCAGACGACGACGACTACGACGAGTGTAACAACAAGGCAGGCTCAAAGCTCGGAGAATATTTCTCTGGAAGAAGGAGGCAACGGAGCAACCACAGGAAGTACATATAACCGTTTACATATTGTATGCGATTTTTATTTAAATTTTATGTTAAACACGTGACTTGTGACCGGCGAAAAGGCGGAGCTGGAAAACATATAATAATATAAAACGGATCGCCCAGACTGTGGCAAAAGCAAATATTATGACATATTTTTGCGGTTTACTTGCCGCACACGCGTCATCATATCCCCCGCAAAACGAATGTTCCACGAATGAGTACATAAACATGTAAAGTGGTTACGGGGGTGGGCAAGATAGATGGACTCCGATATATGTGTGTTTGCACTATACGTTTAGAAATGTGTATACATATAGTCGACGGGAACCAACAATAGAAAAGCAGACATCCTTGAAGGAGTCTACCTATTTTCCTTGCTTTTTCCGTTTCCTTTGGCCATCGAAACCTTACTTAAATGGACAGAAACTCATGTTTATATGACAATTTAATTTTATTTCCGGCTTTATCTATGAATATGAGTAAGATAATATTTAAGTTGGGGATAAACGGTGGGAAAAATATTCAGCAAAATATGACAAGAGTGAAATATCATATTAATAAAACGTAAATCAAATATTTACCATCACTGGACATGCCATTTCTAGCCTTTCTAAACATTTCAATCTGCAAACCATTAGCAATTAGGCCAAATTATAATATTGAGTGCACTTAAATCGACATTATTAATCATTTGCTGAATATAACAACCAATAAAGTGAATTCAATGAAACTGAAAAGGCTATTAAAAGCACTCGATTCGTATTGATTGCGCAATTTGGTGGGGCGCCAGTCGCCAATCGCCTAGGGATTGGCAAAAAATATTATTAATTATGCCATGAAAAGGTAATCACTTCGCGAATTGCCTTTTTTCGGTGGCCAATAAAAAGTAGCAACATTTGCATTGTACACCGCAAACATATAATCAAATTAATTGCGCATGAATTGGCCGCAAATTGGTTGTGGTGCGAAAAAAGGTTGCACCGCTGAAATGTCCTTTAAAAACCACGGCAAATTTAATAAAGCCGCATTAAAGCGATTCACTTACCAACTCGCAGTAAGGAAGTTTCCGTGGCGAAAGTTTTTAGAGGGCAAACTTTAACGGCGAATGCAAATATGGAGAAATGTGCATAAATCGAAAGGCAGCCATCCGGCAGTAGTTTCAGCACCCCATAAATCATAGTTCGCCGGGGCTTAGAGAACTTTCCGCGCTAGATAAATGACCCGTTGTCAAACAGGACCACGGCCAAAACGGAACCGCTTTCGTTTATTGTTAGAGCTACAAATATAATTTGGCAAGCTTGGTTTTTTCCTTTTTCTGGTCGTCTTTTCAATTTGCAAACAAACGAATGAGGAACGGACTTCTATCTATGGCAAATAGTTGGCTGCCAGCCTGCAATCAGCTTTTGGCCGGGGCCAAAACGCTATTAGTATGCATGGGCTAGTAGAACGGCCCCCCGCCCTCATTTTCCATCCGCTCTGCAGAATGTTTGTTTTCGATTCCATTTGTTTTCCCTCAGCCACAGAGGGACACACGGACACAGATACGGACACCCAGTGAGTGTGAGTGGGCGAGTGTCACAGCCAAAGTCACAGGGAACAATCGAACACACGGCGTATACGTAACACACACACTTTTCAACGGCATCTCATGCAATTTCGACCATGCAATTTGCGGGCCTAGAGCCTGCGGCCGAGTCCGGTTTTAAGGCCCGGATGCGGGTGAAGGAATAAAAATTGGTCACACGGAGGAAAATTTATTTGTAAAATTAGCTTGATTAATTTTAAAAGTAATATATAAAGTAGAGTTTACGCTACAAAGTGGTCCCAACATAAACGAATTTTGAATGATCAATAAAATAAAACGGCATTTTAAATGCAATGCAATGTTTATTCATTTTTAGAAAATTCAATTAATTACCATTACCGCAATTACCATAGGTTTTTAATTCTTGAATTCTAAAAAAATAGATAATACAGATCATAACTGTACGTTTATATTTAAAGTATTAGCTAATTTTATAGATTTGTTTTATTTTCACTAATTAAAACTAATTTAAAATAGTAAATTACAGGGATGGGTTTTAAAGGTGAATCTGATAAACTGGTATTGGACTTTTTTATAAATATCTACAAAGTTTCTTAAAGCATTTTAAGGGAGAATTTTAATTAAATTTAAGTCATACCTTTAAATAGTTAATTTTATCATGACTTAAAAAAAACGAGTGGTTTTTAAGATTTATTAACCACAAAAAAAAGAATGAACTTAAAAATAAAATAAATTACACAAGTCTGATTTCGTGTCTGCTGTAAAGTAAACCATATTTTCTCTCAGTGCACATACCGGGGAAATACCAAAAAGCCCATGTACTGGCACAACCGCTGCATTTAGTATTAGTTGTAGGCAAGCAAACAAATAATTTGCATGCCACCGTTGCACACGCAAGCCGGAAAATGGGAAAACATGGAAAATTTCGCGATGGGTCAGGGGATGGATGGTGATGGAGGAATGCGGGACGGCGATGCGACGTGGCGTAACCGTAACCTTTAATTTGCAAATTATTTTGAAATGTTGCGGCAGGGTCGTGTCAAGTGCATTTGTTCTCCCCTCGGCGGCAGGGGGAATGTGAAAGTTATGCAAACTGGCGGACATACTGGCGGACATACTGGCGGACAAGTGTGAGCGTTGGATGGGCAAACATCATTAAAATTCATTTGACGCAATTTGCCAGGACATCGCCTTAAATATTGAAGATTTAAGGGGAAAGCCGAGCGTTGAAAGTTCTGACAGCTGAGTAGCAAATCCTGAGGCCCCGGACTATGACGAGTCGGAACGGACAGGAAGCCTTCGTGGCCTTCGGTCTTGCATAAAATTAGCTTACACGCATCACTGTCAAATACGCCGGACAGTCATGCAGAAGGCCGTGAGAATGGATTAGGTGCTCGCCGGAGCAGACGGAATCCGGCTAATTACAAACGGAACTCGGTAAATTGGCAAGGGGCCATGGGTCTAGGTAATTTCCATTTAAAGTGGAAGCGAGTTTCCCAAGTTAAAGGCGGCCTTTATTTATTATTGCTTAATTGTTGCGCTGTCAGACGACATTTTCGGGTATTTGGCCCGATGATAAAGCTGGGTGAAATATACGCAATTAGGCAGAAGCAACGGAGGATTGGGGGCGGTGACTAATGAAGTTGCAGATTAAAGCTCCCCGAAAATATCTATATGTATATGAGGGGCGGCTTTCTGCGCTATCGGGGCGCCATAAATAAGGCGAATAAATCAGGGACATTTTCCCGAAAAGCGAAATACTTACACTTGAGATACTGCTCGTTGCGGGCTATCACCTTCTCGGCATTCTTGCGGGCCAGGAAGAACCACTCGGAGGTGTTGCCCAGATAGTGGTACTCCATGGCCAGATCCTTGGCGAACACTGCCCCCAGATTCGGAGGCGGCAGGCGGTAGGCGAAGGGGCAGAAGAGGCCCAGCTGCGCGGGATGCTCGTTCCAATCGAAGCAATTTCCGGCCGCGAATATATCATCGTCGAACTCCACCATGGACAGCACGGAGGCGTGCAGCAGGTTGACATCCTCCTGAACCGAGCGGCCGGTGGTCTTGAAGATTCTGCCGGAGACAACAAGCAGGGCATACATCGGATATTAGTTGCAAGGCTGGGCAAAAAAATGGAATTTATGGCCCTGGCATGGCCAGGAAATTGCATTCAAAATGGATGAGTTAAGAGGCAGCTGCAAGTGGCGAGTATCAAATACTCTTTCCATCATCAAAAAGAATATTAAATTATATTGGTTTTAAATATTTAACAGGTTAGTTGTTGGTCAAGTATTTTAACCGTTTTATCAAAGTTCTATAAGAATAGTTTATCGAGATCGAATAATATTTCTCAGAAAGTAACAAGTAAAATTAGAAGTTAGAAGTGCTTCCAAAGTTCCATAAAAATACTTTACAGATTTCCGTGTTTGTCTAGTGTTTAAAAAGTTCTACCGAAGCACTTTAAAAAAGTAGGTATAATATAAAAACATAAAAACATCTCTGGGTATTTTTTAAATAATAACAATTTAATTTAAAAATTTAATGATAATTTTTCAATTAAGATTAATTAAATCGTTCGTACAGCAATTTATTATTCTTAAATTGTCTCCTTATTTTGTTTAATATAGTTGGGCTACATTTTTTGTTTTTGTTTTTTTTTTTGTTAAAGACCTCTTAAGTAATCGCAAGAGGCCGTTAACCGATTTATTTTGAAATGATGTAGGCACGTAGCTCGTCTTAACCCAAAATGAGGCGCAACCCTTTTGGGTGGCAGGGCATGAATAATATAATAAGTTTTGTTGCAACTCAAGCAGAGAACCGAAAGTGGCTCGGTGGACCTGGCCCGGGAGCCCCGCCAGAATTGGCTTCCTTTCATTTTTGTTGGTCTGTCATTTTTATTATACCCGTTACTCGTAGAGTAAAAGGGTATACTAGATTCGTGCAAAAGTATGTAACAGCTAGAAGGAAGCGTTTCCGACCCCATAAAGTATATATATTCTTGATCAGGGTCACTAGCCGAGTCGATCTAGCCATGTCCGTCTGTCCGTCTGTCTGTCTGTCTGTCTGTCTGTCTGTCTGTCTGTCTGTCTGTCTGTCTGTCCGTCTGTCCGTCTGTCCGTCTGTATGAACGCTGAGATCTCCAAAACTACAAAAGCTAGAAGGTTGAGATTTCCCACACATATTCTTTGGCTTCCTACGCAGCGCAAGTTTATTTTAGCCGAGCGCCACGCCCCCTCTAACGCCCACAATCGCCTACTAACGATTTTAAAATGGGTCCTGCGCCCACATCTTTAAAGATTTCCCAGAAGTATAAATGCATTTTTGTTGTGTATATTTATACCTATCGAAATGTAGAAGACATTTTTCAAATCGGACCATTCATTAAAAAGTTATACGCAATCAAAAATTATATATCTATCTCCCTCGCACTCCCTTTAGCTGAGTTACGATTATTAGTCGGGACACCAACCCGCGTTCGCACTCCCTTTAGCTGAGTGACGGGTATTAGATAGTCGGGACAACAACCCGACTATAGCGTTCTCTCTTGTTTTTATAACTGAAGAAGGAGAGAGGGGGTGGTTGGGTGGTGAGTGGGTGTTGGGGGGTCTTAGCCCGCTGGCTGTTACAAGTGCATACTTATAGGCGCGGCGCATTCAAGCCGCCTCAAACTGTGCTCAAGTGCGCTCCTGGCTTTCTATTGTCTGCGGCCCCAGCACAGGATGCCGGCATATCCTTCGTCCTCCCAGCCACCCACTTCCTCGAAAATGGGTAAACGAGAAAATTACATTGAAGATTTTTACTCAGGGTGAGTCCAAATTACCACCCCTTTCCTGTCTGCGTAATATTAATTAAATTGTTGCCCTAAAAGGAAAAAAACATCGAAAAAAAACTCTCACAGCATCGACTTCAATTCCATTTTCCAATACATTAGCCAGGAGCAACAGAAGCTGGTTCCCTGGCCGAAAAAGACTCGGGATCTTGCGACTCTCTCATGTGACACACTCGCTAATTGGGCGTGGCTCATTAATTCGCTGGCGGGCCTCATTTGTAAATGTCAAAGGCATTTTGTCAGCCTCCTAGCACCCATCACCCCACCGCCCAATCCGGCGACACCCATCCAAATCCATGCGAGTGTCCAAGGCCGTGTCGGGGGCTCAAAAGTCGCCTAATGATGATGACGCCGCCGACATTGTTCGCTGGTGATAATGCTGACTTAGCTGGGAGCTCGACATGGAGTTGACAGCTTTTTTCCACCAGCCTCCCATTATTTATGGTTCTTTTTTTGTTCTGGGACAGGGCCAATGATGAGTGCAAATATCTCACTCTCAACACTGCATTCGGGCTTATCGAAGAAGTTTTCAAACTTTAATTTCTCATCATATTTTATATGTTCACACAGTTTCTCAACCATGCACTGTTCATCAAGAGGTCTATTGTAATTTGAAAAGGATAACATTTAAGTTTTCAGAGAGAGGTCTTTGAAACTATCTTAATTCAAAAAGGATAACATTTAAGATTTACGATTTTATTTTATCAGACTTTAAATTTTACGTTTTTTATTTAATTTATTTACTAACTCTTATTATTTACTCAAAGCCTTTTCCTTACAGTATAAAATATATATTATAAAATGTTACTATCTTGATCCTCACTTATATTGAAAGCCAATAAAATCCAAATTCTATTTTTTTACATTTAAACCTTCTTCTCTATCATTATAAAATTGTTTACTGTGCAATCTGGCAGGTCCTCGTTCCCCAATTAACATTCTCCGCAGACAACTTGAACTGCTGGTGTGCTTATATAGTTTGGGACGCTTACAGTTGCAGTGTTGTCTGTTTTCCGGCTTTTCTCCCCTCTCCACCCTTTCACCCCCCTCTTTACACCACCCACTGCCCCCTGAGACTGTGTCCTAAAGTGTGCTAAAAACACTTTTCAGCACTTGAGTGCTGGGAAAGAGGTGAAAACAAGCGCAAAACAAGTTTCGGATGCCGGTGCCCAGGACGGGAGCTCTAGATCCAGGAGTAAGTAACTCACTAAGTACTCGAAAGTGTTCCCCACCCCCTTGGCCTTTGTCTGGGTGCGTTTTTGGGGCAGTCGAAAGGGGTTAACTGAGGCGGAGGCTTAAAGCCCTGCTTAAAGGCTTCCGACCTCCATAAGAGCCCCCTATGATGATGCGGTTGCTTGGGAATTCTGCCCCGATTTTTTTGTTTCAGCCCACCTGTGCTGTAATTACGCAACTGCATCGGAAAGTTGAGCGGTGAATCCCTCTGACGTTTAATTAAAAACATGTTCGCCCATCATTGACCAGGCTAAAGTTTTCCATTTTCCGTTTTGGTTTTTTTTCGTTGCCTTTTCCATTTCAGCCGGCAGGCAGCATTACAATTTATATCCGCTGCTTTGTCAAAATCCCCAACTACGGGGATTGTGAAAAATCTCCAGGGGACTTGAGATGGCTGTTTCGCTTATTTGTTTAGCACATGATGCCAGTCAGCCGAATAAAACGCGTATTAGAAACATGAGGCGCCTTGAAAATGCCAAAGGAATGGGGAGGCGGAGAGCCGCACTTAAGCAGCTTTTTTTTGTTATTTGACTTGAGAAGGCCGTTGCATGTCGAGGAGGAGGCGGCTTTCCCGGCGCTTTTCCCTCGACCTCTTGTTAGCTCGTATTTGCAATCAAGTCGATGCCAAGGTCTTTATTGATTTTGAAAAAAATAATGCTAAACAGCACGCTAAGCGAACAAATAATTTAATTGCCCGGCCATAAACAAGGAAATTAAATTCTATTAATGCCAGAGTGTGAACAAAAAATTAATTATGCGGGGAAAATGAAATAAAATTGTAAATTTCAAGTTTCGGCACCTGAAGGAGAGCCTTGCAGGACACACGAACGCACCGAAAGTCCTGGAGAGCCCTTCAGGCCGGCCGTGTCCTTTGGCCAAAAGGACTCGAGCACCCGTTGCTTTTTCGACTCTGACTGCGTGTCGACATCTTAATTGAAAGCGAAATGCTCCGGTTTAATTATTCAAAGCCAGGACACTTCGGCACACTCCTTAGAAAACCAGCCTGGCCGACTGACTGAATGACTGAATGGCCAAGATGATGATGATGATGATGATGCCTTTCTGGGACCCTCAGACGACTTTCGTCCCTTTTGTCTGCTTTATTTGTTTGCCGGGTGCGCTTTTAATGGCCCATAACGGTCAAGGCTTTTTGCCAATTTTAATTAGGCCATAATTAAATGATCAAACGGTGAGGCAACGGCATAACTGATAATATATATATTTAGATATGATTCTCTGCTAATTGACTTCTGCGAATTATGTTTTAAAATATTTGGGAGAAGGCTGGGAAATTATTTAATTTATTTTATGAAAATTTAAGATTGAAATGGGAAACCTTTTGAGCTACAATTTTGTAGAAAAGAAAACTAAAAGACAACTTAATTATTATGATGATAAGGAAAATGAAAAACTTCTCCATGCGTTAACCCAAAAATATATGGTAAATTTAACAGGCAATTTTGTTAGCCAATTTGACACAAAACACAAAAGATCTAAAGCTGAAAGAGGAATTCACTGGCAAACTCCTGCGCCATGGCAATATGTGTGTTCAATTAGGAAGCAGGAAAAGGAGTTCAATTAATTAAAAGTTACCCCATGTTGGCCCAGTTTTGTTGCCTGGTTTCTGCTTTGTTGGCTTGCGGCTAATTGAGCCTCCAGGCACTTGTTGTTGACATGTTTATGCTGGCCGCAGGATCCGCAGAACAGGCCAGGACTTTTTCCTATTGTTCAAAAAATGCTTTTTGATTTAGTCCATTAATTGCTTTCAACTTGCTAACTTCTTTTCAACGTACTTTGCCAGCCCGATGAGTATTATTATTGCAGGCGCGCCCCGCGAGGGCGCCAAAGTTGGCAAACATTTTGGCCGAAAAGTTTCCCTTTTTGATTTCCTGCCGCCGAGCATAATGAGTCGAGAGCTCGCGCCTTTCAGCTAGCTCCCTGCAAAGACAAACTTTGTCTGCGGCTCTGTGGCTCTGAGTTCTGAGTTCCGAGTCCCAAGTGCTACGTTCTGGTTCCCCCGATCCAAATGTTTTTATTGCCCAAAAATAGACTCTGAAAAAAAGGAGATTTGCGGCTGCTGCTGCTGCTGCGGCTTAAACGTTACGCATTCGCCAAGTGGGCCAGCAGCCACTTGAAAGCGACCGAGGCGGAGGACTTGTTTTCGGGGGAATGGAAAACTCGACAAGTTTGTTAAGCTGTTAAGTTATGGCAACATGTGTTGCACAAAGCGCGGCAAAGCGATGCAGTCGTGTAGTTTGTAAAGCCGCCGAAAGAGGGTAACCGGCTAAAAACATCTCACAGACGATCTACCATAAGTTGAATCGTTTTGCAGTTCTGCAAACACATCTAAATTGAGTTGGAACAGCGTTTAGCGACTAAACTTTCTTCAGTTTTATTTGATTTACCCAAACTTTGAGCTTTCAAAAATGTTTTGCGTCTTGTCAAACCTAAATTGAATTTAAGCCACCACCAAAAATTAATAAATTATTTAAGTGGCCTTAAAATGTTGGGAAAACAATGATAAAATACAGATTTTAATAACAATTATTTTATTTTTCAACATTTTTATTAATTTTCAATGTTTTTGCTCGCTGGCAAAGGAATATAAAAATCGTATTCCTTAAAACTAAATATTATTCCAAGTTTAAGACCAATATAAAAAAAATTAAAAACTTTAATATTTTGTATTATATTAAAATAATTTTAATTAAATTTTAAAATAATTTTAATTTTTGTTAGAATAAAATATATTTAAATATTAAATAATAAATCTTATAATTGAGTGGTTCGTGTTATGGAATTTCGCCTGTAGCCTGGTGAAATGCGTCAAAAGAGGGAAATCACCCCAGCGAGAGCCGGAATCACAACCAGAACCATTTGCATCCAACATCGCCAACAGGCTGCAGACAAGGGCAGCAGCATTCGTCGGCACAAGAGTCAAGACCAGATGTGTGTGCTGAAATAAACCATCTGGAAAAAGAGCCGCGGCCAAGTGGTGCAGTGGTGCGGCGGTGCAGTGGCGCAGAGGAGCCAAAGGAGCCACCCTCACTTTGGCCCAGGATGGGGCCAAAAGCCGCCGGTGGCCTACAAAGGCATGCATGTCCGCGTCAGTTGCATTTGCAGTTGCGGCTTTCCAGGCGGGCGATGTACGTAAAAATCCACAATCCACATTAGGATTGTTTTGCGCAAAATGAAAACAATTTCCATTTCGGGGCTAGACAACTGCATTCTGCAGCGGCTAACAATAAAAATAGCGGGAGCAAAGGCTCGTGGGCGTGGCAGGTTGAAAGGGTTGGCGGTTGGAAGGTCGAAGGTCGGGGGAGGAGGCAGTGTTATTAGCACCGCCCGCTGGGCAAAAGCAGAGTCGAGTAAATCAAGCGGCACAAAGTCCCGAAGCCATAAACACTGCGAGAAATCAAGTGAAAAATTGATTCACTGACCTCGTTTTCTGCACTCAGGAAAATGTTCTACCAATTAGAACATTACTTTGTATTTATTTTTTTTAAGAAATCGAATTATGATAAGTATGCATTTATTATCGTTTCGAAATATTTTATTTCATTTTATAAATTAAAATTCTTTCAGAATAATTTTATAATAAATGTAATATATGTTTAGTAAGTGTTTACCCTTTAATATATCGATATTTTTTCGAAAACCCATATATTCTTTCTCTGTGAAAAACCGTTTCCTGAACATTGACTTGCATAGATATTTGTTTGCTTCCGTTGGAGAACTTTTGAAGGATGTTGACAATGACGCGGCAACGGGGACAGAGACAGGATCCTCCTCCTGCTTTGGGGATGTGGGGTTTTAAGGGGGGTGGGATTGCGGGTGTCCTTGGTACTGTCGCGTTTTATTGCCGCTGGCAATTGGAAACTGCATCGCTTATGCAGATTTCAATTTCGATTTGTTGCATGAACTGAACGCAAACGCCACTCGAATTCCAAAGGCATTGAGAATTGAAACAAGAGACGGCGAGGCAATAAATTATTTGCCAAGTTTATCGCCGAACTTCCGCTGCAAAATAACAAAATCATTGCCTGGCAAATAAGAGAGATGTGCACTTGAAGTTGGCAAAAAGAGCTGGTTACAAGTCGGGGCAACAAAAGAGTTTAGATGGCAAAGAACAGGCAACCGGAAACTCAATTTCAGGACAGGCCAAGCCAGCAGGTCCTTCGCTTTTCACTCACGATTCTCACTTGCTCACTTTCTCACTTGCTCACCTTCTCTCCTCAACGCGACGACAACACATTTAAGTACTTAAAAGTTTTCCGATTCCATCCGCCATGTTGCCACACTTTTGCTTTTGTGCCTTGTGTGCCTTTCAGCTGGAGTCGCCTCGTTTTCGCCTTCTGTTTGCCGTCTACACTTTTGGCTCGAGCGGCGTGAACGGAAACTAACGAAAAGTGGCCAAGGCAAGAAAACAATTGAAGCTCGTAATTTCAACTTGAATTGATATTGTTTTTCCTGACTGCCATTTAGCCCTCCCTTTTCACTCACCTTCAAGACCTGCCCTCCCCTCCCTTGTTTTCCTTAAATGTTATTCTTGTTTTTGTTTGAGCAACAAAGTAAACGGGAAATGCCCAAACACAAAAAGTGAGTGGGGAACAAGGAGCAGGAAGGAAGGATAAGGATAAGGATCCTTCGCTGGCAGGGCGATAACAATGTATCACAAAACAATAACTTCAATTAGTATCTATCTGTGTAGCGGGAACCGCCTCGTAATTTCCCCTTTTTCCCTCTCGCTCAAGGAAAAGTTTTCCGGCCTTTTCCTTGATTATGTTAACACAAGCAAAACTGATTAAAACAGGCCGTGATTAGCCGCCGCTGTTCTTGAAATTATGAACCAGGGATTTGGCCGCAGTGTCTGTATCAAATTTATGGAGCCAGTCGAACTGGATAAATCAGCCCAGAGTCCCCGGGGCAACATTCCCCATTGAAGCAATAATGAAAACAAATGCCTGGCATATGACACTAAATGCAATAATGTTGATCCCGTGGCCGGGCGCAATTTAATTTATTGACATTCGACGCTTTGACATTTTATTGCTCCCCAGGACAATGTCGGCTTTCCCATTTTCCTCAGTTTTCCTTTGCCCTCTGTCACTTAATTTGTCAAGCTGCTCGTCGCTTGGGTTAATTGTTTATTTGTGCCTTTTATTGACAACGCGGCATTTGTTCCTTGGAATTGTCAGTATGTCATCGTTTCGCTGCGACTCTTAACAAATGAGTTTTTTGGCCAACAAATGGCCTTGATTTCCTGTCGCCAATCAGTGAAAGTTGTTATCTTTTGCTGGAAAATTATGTCCATGCTACTTTGGCCTGTTGCACGAAGCCAACCACACCCAAAGTTTTTTCTAGTTTTGCCTCACAGGAAAAAAGTTAAGCTTTTTCTTGATTTCTCCATTGCTATTTTGCTATTTGCCACAAAAACCGAAGAAACGCCAGGGGCACTAAAGAAAAACAGAAAGACATAAATTCCAGGTCTAATGTCTGTATGGAGCACATCCACATCCCCAACGGCATTGACACACAGGATGCGTGTATGCAGGCAAGGACATTGGGACATTTGGACATGGAAAAGCAAGACTTTGAACTTCGGACCCACATATGCGAAATCTGATGAAACTCTGTGTTTATTGTGCCTGGCTGCTGGGCAGCCAAAGAAAAGCAGAGCTCTAAAAATGTTGGCTAAACTTCTGGGCCCTAGGAGGGCTGCTTGATGTCCTTGTCCTTCGGATTGTCACTTGGGCGCTTATCCAGATACACGATATACTGCCAAATCGATGATGGAAGCGGAATGGACACGAGAAACAAAGCACATACACATATCAGCTGGCTCGGTTTGGACAGCAGGAAAGTCCAGGACAAAAAAAAGAAACCAAATGAATTGCCATCGTTTGGGTCGCTCAGGTAAATCAATGTCCTCGCTTTGCTTTTGGCCACAAGAATGCCGCAAACTTTCTTTTTTTCTTGTGGGCAGGCACGCCTGCTCCGCTAAGTAATTGAACTTTTATCAAAAAATTGCACGCAGCCAAGCAGATGCGAGGGAAAGGCGGAGGAAAATCGTAGGAAAATCTAGGGAAACCGGAGGTAGTTCTGCCAACTATAGCACAACAAGCGCCAGGAGCAACCGCAACAAGAAAAGCACATTATGCTTGTTGTTGACAAAGGCCACTTGCCAATCTCGATGAACTGAAATTGGCGAATAACTAGTGAAACGTGAACGCCGAACGATGAGCGATGAGCGTTGGTGGCTGGGAAATGGAAAGTGCTTAGCAAATCCTGGGGCCTCTAATCCTTATTTGGGTTTTCAACAGAATGTCCCCGAGGGCCCTTAAATTGTATTTGCAATAAATTATCTGCTAATTTAAATGGCTGTTTTTGTATAGCACGAAATATAAAATATTTTATTTATAGAGGCATAAATTATGCATTGATTTAAATGTCTGATTTTTTTATGCGGCAATAAATTATCTTCCGATTAAAATGTCAATTTCTAAAAATGTAAAATATATTCCTAGTCCTATACTAAATGTTGGTGAATGTATTAAAATAAAGCATTTATTATTTCATGTTGATACTGTCAACTGTTATCTCTGAATTTATTAAAAACAAAAAATGTTTACCTACTCTACATTTTTTCTACACCTATTATAATAACTGGTATATCATTCAGTTAAATGGGAACATTTAAGTTGGTGGAAATCAACTTTATCCCAACACTCTTGTTTGTTTTCATTGCACTCATCACAATTCTGTTTTATTTAAATTTTTAACTGTCACTTTGGCACTTTCACATTTCGTGTAAAAGTCGTATTGTATAAATTCCAAAGGGCGCCCTTTCAGAGGGGGGAGAAACCGAAAAAAAATCATGCCAGTCATCAAGTTGCAGTCCTCCGATGGTGAACTTTTCGACACCGATTCCGAAACTGCAAAATGTTCGAGTACCATTAAAACCCTGCTGGAGGACTGTGCACTGGAGGCGGAGAATGACCCACTTATTCCGCTGCCGAATGTGAACTCGACGATTCTGAAAAAGGTCCTCATTTGGGCCAAGCACCATCGGGGCGATAATGAAGAAGAAAGCGAGGGGACCGAAGCAGCCCGGCCAATGGTGGATATCAGTGCCTGGGACGCCGAGTTCCTCGCCATGGATCAGGGCACCCTCTTCGAGCTCATCCTGGCGGCCAACTACTTGGACATCAGGAGTCTACTGAACGCCGCCTGCATGACAGTGGCGAATATGATAAAGGGCCACACCGCGGAAGAGATTCGCCGGACCTTTCATATTAACAACGATTTCTCGCCCTCCGAGGAGGATTTACTGCCCGCGGAGACCGAGGCCCCGGAAGAGGACGAATCAACCGAGTATGGCGATATATAAATTCGGAATGAATATAGCTTAATAAATACTACTGAGAAAACTGGGTTATTTCGAATTGCAAATATCTTGTAGCTAATGTTTTGCATAAGACACTCTGCCTCTTTGACACCTCTAGATTTATCTGCGAATTGGATAATCGGAGCTAACACAGCTAATCTTATCCAATCGAATCCATATACGAAAATATAAAGAATAATTTCATGCATTCATGCATTTCAAATAATACTGTTTCCCTGCAAGCCAGATATACATATGTATACATTGAACAGTATGAAACTGCTACTCTTAATATTTTCTGTAAATAAGCTCGTTCATTTATGCGTTGCCATGCGTTGCCTAGTTGCTGACGGAAAATATAATTATAAAGCTTGTGATAAAATTACAATTCATGGGGTATATACTTATATGTAAGTGCGGATGATCAGTCGCCTGATCAGTCTAAAACTTTAACCATGCGCTGGCCAATCCAGATTGCTCTCTGTCTTCTTGCTCTCTTGGGGCTTTCTGCGGCCAACGAACCGATGCGCCTGTGCCCGTGCTTTAAAATCTATAGCCCGGTCTGCGGATCGGATAACGTTACCTACGCCAACGATTGCGAACTCGAATGTCAAGCAAAGGACAAACCAATTACAAAGGTCAAGGAAGGAAAGTGCTAGTAATTAGAATGTCAATGTACCAAAAAATAATATGACGGTACCTAAAATCGATATTTCTCATTATATTTGCCATTCTAAAAAATAAACTGTTCATTATTCCTTAACACGTTCTGGGTTATTTATAAAATTGTAAAGATGTCTGACAAGTCCAAAACTAATACAATGCGTTGCCTAGTTATGAAGGCACTCTTTCTCTTTGCTGCCTTGATCCTTGATCCTTATTGATGATTGTAATTGTCCTGACACATCTAGTTTTGTCTGCGGATCGCATAATGGAAGCGCCCACAGCGAATGCAAACTTAAATGTATAAGGAAATGCATTGAAATATAGAAATGTAATCCATATGGGAAAGTATAAACAATAAATTTGTGTATTTTGAACAACAATATAAAAAGAATGCGCGTGGATCCCCACGGGGTGTGATATGGGTGATAAACTAAAGGAATTCTGGTATTCAAAAAGTTTGCAACAACAAACTTGTTCTGATATCACTCCCCATAACAAAATCATAGATCCGCCACAGATAAAAAGTTTGTTAATTTATTTAGGCATGAAATTGTAATTGCTACCCTTAAGGGGGAACATCTGAGTAAAATTTTAAAAATTTTGTACTTCGCATCTAATATTATAAAACCTACTTTACAAATTTTCTATTGGCTTTTTCATTTGGCCAAAAAAAAATTCCAGAAAATCCGTTTTTATTTCCAGTTACTCAGGTGTCCCCCTTAACAAAAAATATATGTTAATAGCGCGTAATAAAATTACAATTTCACGCTTTAAATATGTATGACTTCCTGGTGCACATATAAATAGAAGCAGCATTCTGGAGTGATCAGTCTAAAACCTATACGATACGATGCGCTGGCCAATCCTGATCGCTTTCTGTCTTCTTGCTCTCTTGGGGATTTCTGCGGCCAACGGCCAACGTCTATGCCCGTGCCCTAGAATCTGGAGGCCGGTCTGCGGATCGGATAACGTAACCTACGTCAACGATTGCGAACTCCAATGTCAAGCAAAGGACAAACCAATTACACAGGTCAAGGAAGGAAAATGCTAGTAATTGGAATTAGAGTCTTGCATTAGTACACTTAAATTGACAAACAAGTCCATTTTTGAAAATAGAGTGAGTTAGTTCAAGTGAGTTAACTTGATCACTCGTAAGGAAAATCAAGTGATACAAGCACAGAATAAAAGTATTACGGTGATTCTAAATTATTTTATATCTATTCATGCAGGACTCTAATTGGAATGTCGAAGTAAGCATTTCCAAAAAATAAAAGAGTTCACTACCCACCGAAAAAGTGAGAAGGTGGTTCTAATAGTGTTAAAAATCCTGTTCCTTTTCGCAGGCAGTGTAGGAAATCACGTTCCATTTAGCATGCCACGCAAATTCATTTGAAAAACCATGTAGAAACCTCATTTACCCCTCACTTTTTGTGTCACCACCGTGTATTTTAAAACCAGAGATGGAAAAAAATGTAAAGGGTGATAATACTGTTTTCCCTGCAACACAGATATATGTTTACATTGAACAGTATGAAACGTTTCTCATTTTTTATTTTTGCATAAGGGCTAGTACTCAACCGAACAAACAAAAACAAAACAAAAAACTTGAACTTTTTTTTTCATATGCAGTTTTTTGTTTTGGACGCCTTTTTAAGGGTTGAGTATTAGCCCTTATAATTTAAATTACCTTTAATATTTATTGTACCGCATGGCAACGCATAGATGAACGTGCTTAGGCACTTATGCGTTGACTAGTTGCTTACAGAAAATATAATTATAAAGCTTGTGATAAATTATATAATCAAAGGTATAAGTAAGCACGGATGGGCTGTGAGAGCCCCATTCTGTCTGATCAGTCTAAAACTTTAACCATGCGCTGGCCAATCCTGATCGCTGTCTGTCTTTTTGCTTTTTTGGCCCTGTCTGCGGCCTGGGACGTGCACTGCCCGTGCCCTACAACCCATAAACCGGTCTGCTCATCGATTGGAGTAAGCTACCACAACGATTGCATACTCCAATGTGCAGCTAAATACTTAAGACATAAAAATATTACTAAGGTCAAGGACGGAAAGTGCTAGTAATGAGAATGTCAAAGTACCAAAAAGTAATATGACGGTACCTAATATCGATATTTCTGATTAAATGGGCAATTCTGAAAAATAAACTGTTCATTATTCCTTAACTCGTTCTGGTTTATTTATAAAATTGTTTAGATGTCTGACAAGTCAAAAACTAATACAATGCGTTGCCTAGTTGTGAAGGCACTCTGCCTCTTTGCTGCCTTGGTCCTTCGTAGATTATTGATGATTGTAATTGTCCTAGTTTTGTCTGCGGATCGCATATTGGAAGCCATCACAGCGAATGCAAACTTAAATGTATAAGGAAGTGCATTGAAATATAGAAATGTAATTCATATGGGAAAGTATAAACAATAAATTTATGTAGTTTGAAGAACAATATATACCCACGGAGTGTGATATGATATGGGTGATATGTCAAATTACAATTTTACGCTTTAAATATGTATGACTCCCTGATGCACATATAAATGGAAGCAACACTTTTAAGTGATCAGTCTAAAACCTATACGATAAAATGCGCTGGCCAATCCTGATCGCTCTCTGTGTTCTTGCTCTCTTGGGGCTTTCTGCGGCCGACGAAGGCCTATGCACGTGCCCTAGAATCGTGAGGCCGGTCTGCGGATCGGATAACGTAACCTACGATAACGATTGCGAACTGGAATGTCAAGCAAGGGACAAACCAATTACTCAGGTCAAAGAAGGAAAATGCTAGTAACTGGAATGTCAAAGTACAACAAAGTAATATGACGGTACCTAAAATAGATATTTCTCATTAAATGGGCCATTCTGAAAAATAAACTGTTCATTAATCCTTAACTCGTTCTGGTTTTTTATAAATTTGTTTAGATGTCTGACAAGGCCAAAACTAATACAATGCGTTGCCTAGTTGTGAAGGCACTCTTCCTCTTTGCTGCCTTGGTCCTTCGTAGATTATTGATGATTGTAATTGTCCTGACACTTCTAGTTTTGTCTGCGGATCGCATAATGGAAGCTACCACAGCGAATGCAAACTTAAATGTATAAGGAAATGCATTGAAATATAGAAATGTAATCCATATGGGAAAGTAAAAACCATAAATGTATGTATTTTGAACAACAATATAAAAAGAATGCGCGTGGATCCCCACGAGGTGTGATATGATATCGGTGATATGTCACCCCCACTCGGGGAATTCTGGTATTAAAAAAGTTCGCAACAACAAAATTGTTTCTATATCCGCCACTGATAAAAAGGTTAACATTTTATTTGAGCATAAAATTTTAATTGCTATCCTTAACGTAAAATATAATTTCATAGCTTGAGATAAAATTACAATTTCACGCTTCCCTGGTGCACATATAAATGGAAGCAGCATTCTGGAGTGATCAGTCTAAAACCTATACGATACGATGCGCTGGCCAATCCTGATCGCTCTCTGTCTTCTTGCTCTCTTGGGGATTTCTGCGGCCAACGAACGCCTATGCGTGTGCCCTAGAATCCGGAGGCCGGTCTGCGGATCGGATAACGTAACCTACGTCAACGATTGCGAACTGGAATGTCAAGCACAGGACAAACCAATTACACAGGTCAAGGAAGGAGAATGCTAGTAACTGGAATGTCAAAGTACAACAAAGTAATCGATATTTTTCATTTAATAAGCATTTTCAAAAAATAAAAGAGTGTACTACCCACCGGAAAAGTGAGAAGGTGGTTCTAAGAGCGTTAGAAATCCTGTAGGTGTTGGGAAAATGTAAATTCTTTTGGAAAACCATCTAGAAACCTCATTCACCCCTCACTTTTTGTGTCACCCCCGTGTACTCGTATTTTGAAAACTTGTATGGTGAAACCTCATGAAAATAAGATATCTCCACATGTATTTTACCGCTGGGTATCTCTTAACTCGTTCCGTGTTATTTATAAAATTGTATTGATGTCTGGCAAGTCCAAAACTTGATCTGATTGCCACTACCTACTTGCTGATTTGGTCGTGTCTGAGATTATTGATGATTGTATTTGTCCTGACACCTATATTTTTATTTGTGGATCGAATAATGGAAGCTACCATAGCTAATCTTCAATATAATCCATTTACCAAAGTATAACGAATATATACATGCTTTCATATATTTCGGATAATACTGTTTTCCCTGCAACACAGATATATGTTTACATTGAACAGTATGAAACGTATTCTTTCTTTTACTTTTGCATAAGGGCTAGTATTCAACCGAACAAAAAGTCGTCCAAAACAAAGTTTCATAGGAAGTTTTTTGTTTTGACTTGACGACTTTTTGTAGGGTTGAGTACTAGCCCTTACAATTTAAGTTACCCTTAATATTTATTGTAAGGCATGTATTACCGCATGGCAACGCATAAATGAACGAGCTCAGGCTCTTATGCGTTGCCTAGTTGGAAAATATAGTTATATAGTTTGTGATAAGTTATATAATAAAATTTATCGCTTAAAATGTAAATTGTTTCCTGGTGCGTATAAGTAAGTGCGGATGGGGTGTGAGAGCCTCATTCTGTCTGATCAGTCTAAAACTTTAACCAGGCGCTGGCCAATCCTGATCGCTCCCTGTATATTTATAATATATTTAAATATTTACAATATATAATAATATTTACAAGGGAATTATTTCCGTTGTGTATTCGATTGACCCCTGAATGACCTTCGGATAAATGATACTACTTGCTTAGCCCGAACTGTTCACATTCAGTTCGAAATCCATTTCCATTTCCACTTGCATTTGTGCCCAACCGTCTGGCCGAAAAACTTTCGATTGGAAAAGTTTGGCATGTGAATAATATGATGTGGGCAGAGAGAGAGAGTCGGCCAAAACTTTGCCCTGGCGTTCACTCACCTGGTCAGCATATTGGCGCGATTGACGGCCACCTCGGCCTCCACGCGGAACCTGTCCTGGGCATAGCGGTCGACCACGCCCTCGCCGAGATTCAGTGAGGTGCCGGCCACACAATTTGAGCCCATCAAATGCTGCTGTTCGATGTACTGCAGAAACTTGGACACCAGATCGATCTTGCTGTCGCGGGCGTTGATCACGTCGGCGGTTATCTGGCTGGACTCCATGTTGTCCTCGGCCTCCTCCTCGCCCACCACATCGCCGATGACCAGCTGCTTGGTCTTGTCATCGATCTGCACATCCGGCGGATAGCCATCGTCCATGGTGACCTCGGAGGTATCGAGAGAGGACTCGGAATCGGAGTCGGAGCTGTCGAAGCTGATCTGCTTGACCTCCATGCTAGAGGCTACCTGGGCTCTGGCCTCCGCCTCGGGTTCCCTGCCTCCCGGAGCCTCGTCCATCCACTCGGTGGTGCCGAGGCTTTCGTTGAGGGAGGGCTGCTTGCCGAAGGGTTCCTCCTCCTCCAGGGCATTGCTTTCGTAATCCGATTCCGAGGAGGAGTCGCGAGGCAACGTGCCCCTTCGCTCCCAAGTGCCATTCACCGGCAGCAGGCGGGTTCTGGTTATTTTTGGCTTTGTGGTGGCTTCCACCTCTTCCTCCTCCTCCTCATCCTCCTGCTCCTCTGCGTCGAGGGTATCATCCTGCTCCTGCTCCCTCTGGTAATTGGCCTCATCACGCACAAATTGGCGCGCCTGCCTGACACCGATATCCGGATCACCTGTTGTTGTGGGGGCCACCGCCGTGGCGAATGAACTCTCCAGCTCAATCTCATCCGCCAGCTGCATGACCTCGCTGAGGGCCGTGTCCTCGGTGTCCTCGGCGCTGGCAGGACGACCCTGCAGATGCTCGGCCTCGGCCAAACTGCGATGATTCTTGGGCGGATGGAGGAGGCCCAGACTTTTGTCCACGCTCTTGCGTATGCTCTCGTTGATTTTCTTCTTGTGCAATTTGCGGATTTTATGCGTGACGGGAGCTGGGGATGTGCCACCCGCCCCTGGCAACGGGGTGGGTGTGATGAGGAGGAGGCGGGTGGTGCCACCCAAGCCACTCCCACTGCTGTTCGAGTGAAGGAAATGCGAACGAGAGCGCCCGTGGCGAATGTTGAAGCTGTCGCCCGTCATCAGGGCATCCGCTTCCGCCTTGATGCGGTTCCGCGGGGATGGGCCAGGGGATGGGGATCCAGATCCCGCTGCTAGAGCCTCCGATTCCAGCTGCGCCTGACCTTGCATCACCCACAAGCCCATCACAAACAGCAGCTGCACAGCCTGCGGCCTCCACATCCACATCCGCATTCTGGGGCTCGGGGTTCTAGCTCGCTTTTTGCTCTCCGCTTTTATTCGGGGGTGCGCTTTGAGTGCACCCCTATATCGCTTAGTTACTCGCCTTGATTGGCTGATCAGCACTTTCTGTGCTGCGGTTATCGATTGGACGAGGGACTGCTGCTGCTTAGCTACCTTTTGGCATTTTCAGTTGTCAAAGGCCGGGGCGAGAACATCACGCATCCGCACCGTGCCCGGCATCCGCTGGTTCGGGCGGATGGACATGCGGATGGCGCCCATTTCCCCGTGCCACCCACTCACTCGCCTTATCCTCTAATTCTCTGCGAAAAGCTGAAACGGAAAAGAGAAAATCGAATGATTAGCCCGGAGAGTCAGGAAAACGGAGAATGACGAATGATGAGTTTGATTGACACCAAGAAAGAAAAACTATTGGTATTTTATCAATAGTTTCTTATAAAAAATTTTTTACAAATATATGTAAACAAAAACTCAAAGCCTTTTTCAGCTAAAATATTAATTTTATATGCTGATATTATCCCTTTTTTTTATTAGCAAACTTGGTAGAAAATTACTTCGTTACTAATATACTAATACTTTTCTTTCAGTGTGCGCGCCTTATTAAAAATCTCAATATTCTCCTGGGATACTACTATATTTATCCCACTATTTGGCCTGGCTTTTCATTATTTTCCTCCCTACGATTCCAATTTCTTTATGCCCTTTGCTGCGTGTATTTTTTTTCGGAAAGTAAGCAAAATGTTTTCTTTGAATTATGTACATTTTTGTGTTACGTACTTTTTGCCCTGAACAAAAATGAAGGTCGCGCACATTATTTCAGCCAAATTCAGAGAAGGCAAGTTAGCGTAATCGGGGCTGCCGGACCGGGATCTTAGCCGCAAAAGCAGCTGGGGCAAACACAAAGTCATACTCTCAAATTCGCTTTAAGTTGGCAATTAAAAATTTCCGCATCTAGGCAGCGCGAGAAACAACACAAATAAATAATTGTTTCCCCAAGAGTCGTTGAGTAAGAGAAGGCGAAAATTGCGCATACGCCGCGTGGCACCGCTGCATTGTGGAAAGCAAGTGCCTCTAGCACGCAAATTAAACGCGATTCCAAAGAAGTGCGCTTTGATTGTCAGCTGGGGGATTCCAGGGGGGAATTGGGGGTGGGGGAATTTCCAAGAACCGAGGCAGCCAAGTGAACATTAATAAAAGTGTACGGCCACAGCTCGCATAAATATTATGGCGCTAACAAATTATATGCCATTTAAATGTAATACTAATTCTGAAAAGAAAATCCACTTGGCTGGACCAGATTTCTCAACGATGAGCAGAGCATAAACATTTTATACTCGGCACAAAGGCACATACAAACGTACATATATATAGTATATGGAACAAGTATATATCTGAGAGGAAGGCAGCGGCACCAGTTCTAATTTCGAGTTTTATGAGCCATAAAAATTTCTCCAAGGCGAGACCAAACATCAGCAGACAAACAGCAAACACAGAGGCAACAATGGATTCTTTGTGGAGTTATGGGGTGGAAGCAGGGTGGGAAAGTGCTATAATGGCTACGGCAGCAAGAGTAATTGACACTCCTGCCACACGGAGGTGTGACGCTCACTTTCCAGCTCGGGATCATGCGGCACTATGTATGATTAGTGCAGATTAAGTTGCAGTTTATGGGAGACTTTTAAGCTCTACTTTAGATTTATTCTACGTTTCTTGAACTGTGATGTAGGTAAATGCTACCTTTTTATTCAAATCCTACCATTTGCAAATACTCTTGTGGATTTTAGGCAGAAATGGAAGCACTCTTAAATACCAAATATAATTGTATGGCATTCTTTATAATCATTTACTAAGTTTTTAAATTCTATAACATTTAAAAAGCTTTTCTCAAGGTAAAATAAATAATATTTTGAAAATCTTTTCTTATACGAAATACTTAAATATTTTTTTAAAACACATCCGCATTTTAAATTTAAAGAATTCGTTAAGGTTTATTTTAAAGTTGCTAGCAGTTCTTTTAATTTAACATGCGAACAAAAAACTGACCTTATTTTTCCAAATTTAAGCTCCGCATAAACACAGTTCGTGAATTTTATTCTCGCCGCTCACAATTTCAATACCAAAGTCCATGAATTTTGTATATGCAAGTGTCGCGGTTCGTAGATGGTGGTGGGGGCCAATCCAATCGGACAATAAATAAACAATTGACATTCTCGGGGCGTGAGGGTGCCAGTATCTATTATTCATAAAGGCCACAGCAAGTCAAACGGGTGCCCAAACCAGAAAAGGACAACTAAATCGGGCTCTTTTTTATTTTGCCAGGGGCTTTGCTGTCGGACAATTGGAAATGGTGTCTCTGGAGGAGAGAAGGCCAAAGTTTGATTCCGGTTGCGGGCTTTGGTTGGCCCGTGATTCCACGGACACGGCTAATGCATTACGACAAACGAGCGGGAAGCTCTGAGAGTGACTGTAGACAGCGGGGGGTTAACGTTAGGGGTGACACTCTCATGTACTTAACCCATGACACCCGACCACCCCGAGATCCAGCTCAGCATGCGGGCAGATGCGAACCCGTTGACAGCTCAACTTTCTCTTTTTCCGGGCGTCAGGCGCCAGGGGCCACCCTTCGTCACAGGTGAGTGGCTGCTGATGCAGGTAACCCAGCACAGAGCTGCGACCTCTGACCCCTCCACACACATGGGGCCCAGAATGTTTCAAAACTAACAATCCAATTTCCAGCGAAGAGCAATTGCATTTGTGACTGAACTGGGAGTAAGAGTGTGCTTAGTCTGATTAATGCCCACGGCCAGTCCTTTGCCCAGCCAACTTTAAAGCAATTGGATTGTCCAGTTCAGAAGGCAAGGCTTTCTCCACTCTACATAGAGAACAAATGGCATTCAAGTGTAAGCAAAGTGAAAGGAGTAATCACAGGAAATAAAATGGCATTACAATAAATTAGAATAAATCTAAGAAAATTTTTAAAAATCATACAAAACACTAAATTGAGTTGCTAAATAAATAATAATAGTTTTAAGTAATTTGATTGTGAATTCCCAAATCCGCAATCTTCATTGTATTTATTACTATTACCTTATTATTAATATTGCTTAAACCTTTATTTTTGTTTTGTTTTTTTTTTTTGTGTGACACCCAAAACCCTTGAGAACCGTGTTGTTTTTGCCCTGCTTTGCCATAACCATTCACTCAGGTCCCAAAAAACATATCCTAGTCTCAGTTTTTCCCTCTTTTCCTCGCCTGCAAATTTATGCAAACACATTAACAAACTCAACGCATTTGCTTTGCATGAGTGTCCTTGTTGCTGCCGGTGACAAAGTTGGAGCGTTAAATGAAATTCGGGTAATTTTTCTGTCGTTGCCAAAGAAAGAATGAAATGTCTTTTGCCAAAATAGCAAAAGAAACGGAAGCGGAAGCAGAACCCGTCAAAAAGAAGATTCAAGTGAGGCAGGTGAGATCTGCTGGCCGCCAAGGTAATACTCTTATTTTGGTTTTTAAAAATCAACAAAGAATTTTTTAAAAATCTGTGATAAATCTAGTTATATTTTAGGTAAAATCATATTTTTTACCAAATTTAAAAGCTTTTTTTTAGGAATTTATTCGTTGTTATAATGTTTGTTACATCAAGATATTTCTTTTGTTTACCAAAATCAATCTATTTAGGATTTTTAGACTTAGAAACACAATGTTGCCGTCAGGGAAGACAACACTTTTATACAAGTTTCCATACCTTTTTGGAAAGGGTATTCCAAGAGGCTGAAATGGAAATGGCGGCCCGTCACCTTCTGCTCCTTTTTGTGCTCGTCGTCAACTCATCAGCAGGGCCACCTTTGTTAGGTAATTCACATTATGTGTCGGCAATGGCGTCGAAGAAAAAATATAAAAAAAACACACACAGCAACAAACAAAGAGCAGCGTGCAAGGAATACGAAAAAATGACATTTGACTTTTAAATTGGATAATTTTTTCTGGCTGCCTGGCTGACTGGCTGGTTGCCAATCAACGGGAAAGGGAGAAAGGGTCTGTCTGCTGGCATCGCGTCCAAATAATATAATATGGAATGTAATTGATTTAGATCCGAAGTTGATAAATACACACTAGACAAAGGAGATTGATTATAATTTCAATTTCATACGAAAACAGCGCCTGCACATGCATCAACCCACTCCAAGTCGAGGGATCCCAGGGAAAGATGCTTCCAATTTGCATACAAATGATGCAGAAAACTCACTTCCACGGCCACACACTCGAGCTCATCTGGGGTGTGTTCTTTACAGCCACTAATACTAGCTACAAAAATCACATAAAACGCTAGCAAATTGCTCAGATTATGAGCCACTTGGGCCTGGCTTTCTCGGCTTTTCCTCCAAGTGAAGGAAAAGAAGAAAAAAGCGAGGGTGACGCGGTGGAGGTGCCGTGTGCGCTGCGTTTTTATGAGCTGGCAAACATGCTTTGAGAATTTATGAAAATAAAAATTGCAAAAGGCAGTCAGCAGTCGCATTTCTGTGGCAGAAACTCTTGTTTTCTTCAGCGCAGTAAAATGCTTCCTTCATTAGCTTCTATTTGTGGACACAACCGGAGGTTCGGAAGTATTTATTTATTTATTTGTTTGTCTGACTGCTTTTGTATTGTATTTTTAATGCTGCGAATATTAAATGAAAACACTTAGTCGTGCTCTGGAATTAAGTGATTTTGGTATTAGTGTTTTGATTAAATTTTTGTGAACTCTGAATTAAGCTTATTATTTATAAAAGGGTTCAAATGGCTATCCGCATGGATAGCCATGCAATACTATATGCAATACGATGCAATACTATTAAAAATAATATTAAACAATATCATTTTGCCGAATTCTATCTCTCGAAGGTTCTATGACTTTGAAAATGACAGTAAGAAGCCATATAACGACTTAAACTATGTGAGTGGGAGCGAGATTAACTAAATCTACACTCAGGGAAAAAATTGTTCTGATTGTGTCTGAAAACGTGTCTTTTTGAGTCTCAAAAATAGCTTTATACCGTTTGGTATCATTATAAGAATTTATGGTATTATTTTAAGAACGGATTTTTAAAACCGCTGTTCTTACTTTAAGAACGAAACGTACTTAAATTTATATTTATTTTTAGTAAAAAAATAATTTTGTTTGAATGCTCCTGTAAGCATTCTGCCATGGAAGGAAATAATAAGGCCATGGCCCAGGGGCCAAG